CGCTCCTTGAGGACATCAACAGCCTGCGGGGCTGGGGCAGTTCAATTTACCTGAATTAGGGGGGGGGGGGAGGTGGGGCGCCATAGTGTATGGGCTCTGTACGCAATATAGACGTAGTTCTGTTAAGATAAGATAATAAGATGTACTTTGTTGATCCAAAATCGGGAAATAGTTTTATTTTAAAAAAATTAAAAAATCACAATTACATTTTATTTTTTTTAAATAAAATATATATTTCCCCCAATCTTTGGCGCCCCCCTGGCTTGATGCGCCCTTAGCATTCGCCTATACTGCCTATGCCAAGGGCCGGCCCTGCCTCCGTGGATGCATTTCCGGGAACGGTGGAGGCGTTACGCACGGCCGGACTTATCTCAGCCAATGACAGCTCTGCATGCGTCCCCTGGATATTATTTTAGTAACTGCTTTCATCGCGACGCGATGTTTACAGACAGTGAGAACAGCTGTGAAGTCCGTGCAGAAAGCAGAGCAGTGTGTAAAATATACATCACTCAGTATAACAGGCCTACATTACTCTCTGTATTTGTATATTGTAGTTTATTAGATATCTACAAACAAAGAGTCGATATTTTTCTAAGACCATTAGTGCTTCACATAATAAAATACACAACGGCTGTAGCCTGATTATGCTGTAGGAACTGTATGTGTGTGTGGTACAGTCTGTAGGTGTGTGTGTGTTGTACAGTGTGTAGATGCGGCGGACAGACGGGTCTCAGTTGGTTTGCTGGCCTATGCTTACTTTTAATACTTGTAAATACAACTTTTGGCCCGTAATTTCAATTCCCCATTTCAGCGACCAGAGAGAGGGGGGGGGGATATATCCAGTCTCTGATTGTGTTACGTTATTATGAGAGTGCCCTCATACTTTTTTGATTCTGAAATTGTATATATTTATATAAATATATGTGTATGTATATGTCCGCATCTGTAGCCTGTTATTGTCTCATTATACCGCACTGTCAATGAATTAAAAGTAAATATATAAGTCGTCATGAACACATCTGTCCATCAACATTGCGCGCTGAAAACCATTTCCGGGTCACTACCGGAGGACCGAGGATTCGAGAAATAAGAAAGGCCACATGAGGTGGGAGAGTTGTGTATGCGACATAATTAACTGATCTTTAAGCCTTGTATAGTTTTACTTTAGAGAGAAGAACAAAGCAGAAATAAAAACCCACATACGCTTTTATTTAGAATAATACCCAATAAACGTGAAGCCTGAAGAAAATTGAGTATAATGAGCTATGAAACGCAGAGCTACACAGATCCTAGTAATGGTTTGACTCAAGATAATAGTTAAGTACACAAGTTTCTGAATTAGATCTGTTAGACATTGTACTAATAATTAGGTGTTAATAAACTGCAGTAGTAGTACTATGAGGAAGTGACATTTTTTGGCTAACACTTTTCAGGGAATGTGGGAAACAGTTGTCCCAATGAAAAGTTAGAGATATCTGGAAAAGTATAGTTGTAGTCGTGAATTAATTAATGATGGGGCCTCCATATATGATAGATTTTTGTAGACAAAGGATACTGGCCTATGCTGAAATATCAAAGTCTTTGCAGAGCACGACACGTGGCCAAAAAGACTGAGACCAAATGACCTTTGACCCTGACCAACAGTGTTTCTTGAGAAAGGCACTGTTAATGACTGACTCTGGGGTGAACCTGACCAAACTTGACTTTACAACATGACAGTGTGAGTGTCAATGTGAGTGTATGTCTGCATGTGATCAGTGCAACTGCATGATTTAAAACAATGACTAATCAAGCATGTTTTTGGACTAACACATTATTCTGGGGCTCTGTGGGAAATGAGAGGTTTCCTAACATTCCACAGAATTGGAAAACCGCACTTGTGACCCGTTTCTAATCTACTTGATGATATTTCACTCCCACAGGAGGTGGCGGTTTGCAGAATGTGAAGCTCAAACTAAAACATGAAGATTCTGTTTCTTTTAGGACTGAAAGATGGAGAGAAACACTTCATTTCACTGGAGTGTTTACTGTGGGAAATGATTGATGTACATTTGTGAATAATGTTTGGTATTTTCTTATGATCCATTATTACCTGAAGGTTTTCTTCCCATACAGGATTTTGTTACACATGGGTTCATGTGTAAAAAGGGGGAGTGTGGGTTTAATGTGTTATATCAACATGACTGTCAAATTCACGGTCTACATTTTTCATTTAGGGACTGAAAGAAACCTGCCGCCCCAACTCAGATGTTCAATCTGACCTTTGATTGACAGTTTTAGAATGAACCTGCTCCATATCTGGGGATAAGATACTGTTTGATGGATGTTGACATGTTTCTAATATTGATTGAGTTATAAACAGGTAACACAGATGCAGAATCAGTGGCCAAGGGGCTACTGTGAGAGATGTGATTCCAGAATGGAATACTGAAGAAGTTGACCTGTGATGATGAAACAATTTTGTAATATTTCAACAGGTATTAAAGTAACTGAGGTTTGAAATGTAGAAAGAACATATTACAGTTAAAGCTAAAACATAGTAATGTAATGAGACAGAATTTAATTTAGACAACATCATGTAACTAGCCTGGTAAAGAAGTAAAAGCCATATACTTTATTGTTTAGGTCATTATGAGGATATACATTTCATCTAAATTCATAATAGAAAGACATTTGATGACAGTTTGTTGGAATTCTGTATTCATTTTCTCAGCTTGATAATATCTAAGCACTGACAGGTAAAAGCAGTATCACCAGGAAATCATTCACTTTGTCAGTATCATGATTTTGGTTGTTTTTGAGTCCATAACATTAGTGTGTTTCTTTACAAGAAATATTAGCAGTTCATATTATATTTAGATTTTAAATGGGATCTCAAGGATTTCATTTAAGAATAACACAGATGCTTGTCAGAAATTCAGAGCTATTGAAATATGTTATTTAGTTCACCTAAAGATGTTGGGGTTTTATTTAGTTGGCACAGGCCAAATATTAAGATTCTGAGGCTGCACTGGCAGATAGGAGGTCTACAATTAATTTAAAAAACCTGTTCACAGACAGCTGTTGTTTTAAGACACCCCACCAACAGGCTCCAAGCGGCCTACGCAGTGGTGGGTCAAACAGCTGAGGGTCCAGGAGCCCTGAGCGTAGGCTTAAGGGATTGGTATCAGATTTCTCCACAGGTTGCTGACGCCAAAGGGGGACCCAGGAGCACGAGGCCGACACAGCGGAGTTCGTCTGGCTGAAGGTCATCAGGCCAAAGTGGCTCAACCCCAGGTTCTCCGGCCCCCACCGAGTGACCCAGCGGATCTCTCATGCCGTCCGCCTAGGAGGAAAGGGGGACAGCTGGTACCACTGGAGCCAGTGTGCGGCGGGGAATCCTCCGGCTAGGACCTTGGACGACATCAGGACGGACCTGGCTATCGCAGAGGAGGTCGACTCGGAAGCTGCCAGCAGTGGACTGGAGGAGCAGGATCCTGAGGACATCCATCCAGCAGGTGGCCCAGAAGCCGCAGTCAGCAGGCTGGGGGACATCACGAGGAAGCAGAGGAGTCTACTTCTCTCTGATCAGATTAATCAGTTCCACCATTGAAGGGAAGGTCGCATCTCCCCCTCCCTATCAGCTGCCCTTGTTGGCGTATTCCTCTGAGGGGGAGGGGCCCTGATGATTCACCACACAAGGAGACTGCTTTCTAGCACTCAGGTTACCCCTCTGATAGTTCCTTCACTGCCATGAAAAGTTGTGTTCTGTTCCCAAAGGTTTCAAGTACTCTAGGTCTCAGCTTCTGATGGATTTGTATAATGTTGGGGGACGGACACAGCGGAAAAGAATGACAGTGGTTATGTTTCGAAATGCCTTGTGTAAGTTTATCTCTTGAGAAAGAGATAAAAAGGGAGAATTGAAGAAAATTGAAGTAACGTGATACAGCAAAAAGTTTAATACAGCGTATTTTTGGTATATTCATTTTAATGTCACCTGATATATAAGAAGTGTGTTTTTATATATTCATGTGTGTACTTAATTACTTTGTATTTAATAGTAGCAGTTTGTATAAACAAGAAACTGGAGATATGAGAAGTGAAAACTTCCCTGTTAGAAGTAGGGGAGAGATGAAATATCCTTATATGGGTACAGCGTGGCAAACATCTGGAGGACAGCAGAGTAGAGTGTGTGTTCATTGCAGTAGCCATAGGCTGTGTAGGAACTGCTCAATTATACCGGTGTTTGTGTTTTATTGATTTCTTTCTGTTTTATTCTTTCAGGTTGTGAGTACTAAATTGCCACAACATTGTGAAGTAGTTGGCTTAAATGTGCTTAATTACTCTGTGTGAAATAAGGAGCAGGTTTGCATGACAGGAGACTAGAAATGATGGGGGAGGGGGCCAGAGAGGGAAGTCTCTGCAAAATGTGTGTGTATGGAGGCTTCCACCAGATAACGAGCTTGTTATTCAGAGCAGGTTCGGGTCGGACACCAAATGTGTCTGTTTTACATCAAATGTTAAGAGACTCTTGTTTCCGGATCATTTGGCTGGCTCGCGCTGATTCGCTACGACACGCCATCGTTTTGCATCTCCCAATGAGATGACCTGAAAGGAGGAGCATCTGACACAGCTCCTCCTGTTTTGTTTTTGTATGCAAGCCTGTTCTGTCTTTGGTTCGTTCTCTCTTCCTCCTGCTGACAAGACAAGTAAGTTAGATCTCCCAGCGGGAGGAACCAGAGCCGGGGTAATCCGGATTACTTCGTGATGTTGTGTTATTGTATCTTTTGCCATTAAATCAGCATATTTGTTATAACCTTACCCTGGTTGCTTTGAATTCTTCCTCTGTTAATCTGACCCATTCACAAAAGGACGCGCGGAGGCAGAGGGGGGGGGGGGGCCTCAGAGCCCCCGCCAGAGTGTGACTCCTGCCCCAACAAGCCTTAATGTGGAGAATAATTTGAGTCTTGGTAGAATAATAAAATCTGTCAGGGAAATAAATAACACAATCAACAACAGGGAGGAAAAATGTATATGGAAACACAACTGTTTATTTACTTAAAATATTGGTATGAACTAACAGGACAGCAGTACTTCCCTACACATACATTCTAGCTTTAAATGCTTATTTTTTTTGCATTAAATTCTTTTATATATAAAAGTATCCAAACTAACAAAGACATCCTCTTTGACCCGTTCACGTGAAACTGACGCCCCCTTTTCCCCCTTCCCGTCCCACATCCCCATAAAAACGTAATAAAACATCCCAAAAAGCTTCCTCATCATGGCTCACATGCAGCCACTTCAAGTTCACACACCCTCTGTGACCTTTGACCTCTGACTAAACTATTATCCAATCAGAGGCCACAAACAGAACAACTTTGTCCCTCATTATAGCACAGCCCCACGGTTAATGTGTGTACATGAGCCTCAAAATTCAGTACAGGTAGAGTAAAAGGGCTGATAAAACTGCTGAATCATTGATTTAAAATGTCTCCTAAAAGTATTATTTAGGTTATATCCAAGTGGGAATACACCAACTGATGCTTACAAACCAGTGACTTGCTTTTAAGGCATTTATGACATTATTAGAGGATGTACATTATTACTAACAAGGGTATGGTAACCAGCAGTAATGAATCAACGCTTTAACTTTGACAAATCCCATAAATACAGGTAATGTGCATGATCTGATGATAATGGGGCGATAGCAAAATAACTTCAATGGGAAACAAAACATCTCCATGCATCATCTTATTAAAAACCACAAAATGACCATTTATTAATGAAATATTAACCCTGTGTTAGCTAGAATTATCAACAAAAACTTGTTTCATGCATGACTCCACGGCGAAAGAAAAGAATCAAAGAATGGAGAAAAGTCTTCATGAGTTAAAGGGGCCCTATTATGCTCACTTACAGGTTCATGTTTGTATGTTGTGCCTCTACTGTGACATGTTTCCATGCTTTAATGTTCAAAAAGCTCTTTCATTTTCTCATTCTGTCTGTGCGGCACCTCTTATCACCTGAAACCAGAGCAGTCTGCTCTGATTGGTTAGCGGTTGTGATTGGTGAACCATTTATAGATGTCCGTCCCTTAGACAATCACGTACAATGTGTTGGCGAACCAGCAAATAGAAGTGCTAGTGTAACACAGTGATGTCACTGTTACTAAAGTAAACAAAGGAGTCCAATGGAGTCACCAAAAATGATATTACACACTACAGGAAAGGAAAACCACCAAAAGAAACTAGGGCCCCTTTAAAGCAAATCGTTTAACAACAACTAAAGTGAGGTTGTTATGCAGAAGTGCATTACATATAACAGTTTAGCAGTTATGTGTGTTTGGGTAGTAGTGAGCATAAGACTGGATAGATAGTTTTATACTGCACAATTTGCGAGAGTTTGTAGGCTGATGTTTCTAATGTCATTTCATTTTGTTAAAGCCGGCTTCAATTTACTTCAGAGAAATCGAGACATTTCTCCATATTAGATTGTTTTGTTGGAGGCATGCAAGGAAAACCATTTTTCAACAAGAATTCAAGGTAACACAGGGTGAGAGTCTGATATATAAAAAGTCATTTTGGGGGTGAAGTACTCCTTTAACTGGGCTGCTATGTACGGGCAAGATAAGCGAATCAATTGTTCTGGTTTCAAAATGTGAACATCTAAGCAAAATACGGAAAACAACTTGAATTCAGTTGAGTTTTTTTAAGTTGGCTTGTGTATGTTTGAGCTCATCCCTAATGTTTGAGAAGCCTGGGTCTAAAATCTTGTTTCCACAATCTGTTAATAATAATCTGTGCATATATGTAAATATGATTATATTGATATTGAGATCCAAAACCTTTATGTGCCCACAAAGAGTTTATTTTCCCACAAACTATATATTTTCCTGGGTATAGATCATTAGCTTTCTATCTTAAATGCACACCCCCAACAATAGTATTTATGCTCATGCCAATAATCGTTAGTTAAGAAAGATGTTTTAGGCTTCTCTATCTGGAATAAAACTCTTCATATACACAATATAAACAAATCTTTTGTGAAGTAAATATAAGCCAGACTGAGTGAAAAATGGTTAATTGTATAATTGACAGTAACCATTCTAACTCGACAGATTTAGCCACTGAATGAATGGTGGTCCTGACCGACAGAAAACACACTATATGTAAAAGACAGAAAATAAAACACATTCAAAAGCCATGTACTAAAACCTCAGTGCCCAAAAACACAGAATTTGGCATCCATAACAAAAAAACAACGATAAACAGATGAGATATACGTTCAATATTATGTGACAAAAAGAGTAATGAAATACCACACCAGTAGCTGATTTGAGCTTTCTGTACTGCGTATGCCGCCATCTTCACAAATTCATTCCATCGAGCGACCCAATATGTTTGTCTCCAGTCTTTTCTCTTTCATTATACACACCTGTCAGGTGAAGGAGCAGAATCAGCAAGTCAAAAGAAAAGACAGAAAAAAGGCCCGAAAGCAGAAACCGAGTATTAAATATGCCAGAGTAGCGAAGGCACACAATCAGAAAGATGAAAATACGATTTTCTCTCGGCTTTCCGATCCAGTTTGACCTGGCTCAATCCTGTTTGCTCCAGGCCTGACAAAGTGCTAGAACATGCGAGACAGAATTGTGTGTGGATGTGTGTGCGCATGTGTGTGGTCACCATTAAAACATATCAACATTTAAAAAGTTCCATATGTAAATATTTTAAAATACACAGGGTCACTCCCTCCCGCCGACTGCATTGATAACCGCTCCGTGGTAAGTGCATCTCAAAGCTAAGTCCCCCCAAAGCCCCCCCCCTGGCCGTACCTTCGGTATAAACGTGTTGGTTATAGGATAATATATTGACATGGATAATGGTTTTACAACAACAGTAAAGTCTTTTTTTAACTGCTATAAATACATTTCTTTGAGAGGTTTCACAACGATCAAACTGTATGCCACTGTTTGCACGCTGAAAGTGAATGACGCGCTCAGTTGTGTCATAAAAACACACACACTCCGATTTCACAAACACGCATAGTCACAACTTGTTCGTACACATACAGGCACATGTACTTTGCAGGGCAGAGGCCAAGCACGCATATACACACATGCACACGCACGCACACATACACACCAAAGACATAAAGGCACAAGGTATTGCTAATGTTGAGGACTCTTTAAAACGTGATCTAACGAGACATATAATATAAATGACCCCTTACATCCCTTTTCTCCTCCTCGCAGTAAAAACTGCTTTTAGGAGAGAAAAAAAGAGATGCTTTTTCTTTCTAAATAACATGCAAAAAATGAACACCCCCACACACACAGGCACACACATGACCAGTAAACAAAACCTACAGATCTACAGTACCAACAGAGGTACACCATTTGGTATTTTAGCGCAGACGGACACGCTCACCGGTGTGTAAGACTTCCGAAACAGAGAGCCGATCATCACGTACAAATCTTAGAAAAAGCAGAAAGGGGAAGGGTCGTATAAAAGAAAAAGGAGAACAAAGAAGAGGGGGGGGGGGCGGGGGAAAGACATTGTCGGGCCAGCTGTCTGTAATCCGTCACCAACAATTTCATCTTGGTTGGCATATGACCTCAGGAAATAGTAAGATACATCCAGCTCTCCTCGTGATTATTTTTCAAGTACTAAAACCGTTCCACTACTGTTTAGCCCGGTCTGACACCAACAGTGTTTAAGGGCAGACGGAGGTGAAGAGTGGTTCACTGGACAGGGACGAGACCACCGGCAGGGGAGTCAGTGGGCTCCTGTGGGATCCAACATGGACCAATAATGCAGGACGAGTTGGAACAGGATGAACATGCGTTGTCAAAAAGCCATCGTTTCAGTGGAGCGATGTGCTCACTGGGCCCAGAGCTAGGAGGAGTGGACAGATAAGTGCGCTGTTCTTCATCGCCACGGTTATGAATAGCAGCAGCTGGACGAAGAGCTCCCCAGACGCACACACACAGATGCATTTCTCAATCATGACTCTGTCTACTCAACCTCCTCTGATGCGAGAAATCTACTGCAGATTCCTCCTCCTGACTTCCTGTGTATCTGCTCTGTTACCAGCCAATGAGATTGGCTTTGGCCTTCTCCGTCAGCTTTCGGACACGCCCCTTTGAGGATGTGCCAAATGTGATTGACGAGTCCTCAAACAGCAGCTGCCTCTGCTCCTCCTCTGAGTCCTCCTCCACGTACCAGGCGGACCGTCGCCCCTGGTTACGTGTGCGCATGGACCCCCCCGCCTCGTCCCCTTCCCCTTCCTCTTCCCCTTCCTCTTCCCCTTCCTCTTCCCCTTCCTCTTCCCCTTCCTCTCCCTGTGAAGACTCTCTCTGATTGGGTCGCTGAGTGGCCGCCTGCGAAGGAGGTGTGACCTCCTCGTTGGCTCTCCTGCTGCTCCTCCTCAGCATAGAGGGCTCAGGGGACCCGGTCCTCTCCTCAGGGGGCGGGGCTTCATCAGTTCTTACCGCTCTGGGCCGACCGCGCCGCCTAGGCGTTGACGGCATGCCAGAGTCCGACAGCACGGATGTTTCCTGCGCTGAAGACGCCCCGCCTTCATCCCCCGTTGATTGGTCAGGATCCTCGTCAGGGGTGGAGCTTCTGCGGTTCTTTCTCCTCCCCCCTTCCTCCGGGTCCTGCTTGCTCTTCTTGCCTTTCTTCTTGCCGGGAGGGCGGCCCCGGGGTCTGGAGGGGCTCTCTGGAGTTGTGACTTCTGGAGGACTCACTGGTGGCTCCACTCTGGATCTACGCCCCCGCCTCCCCACTCCCAGGGTCACATGACTACTGTGGCCATTCAGGTGGACTGTGCTCTGGGTTGGAGGGCCAGCAGGAGAGCCTTTATTTACAGGGCAAAATCAAATAAAAGAAGGCATGTGAGATTACATGTGTATCTTATGACTTTCATATTTAACCTAAGCACTACATGGTCACTTATCTTACCAGCTGTAAGTCGTACAGGAGTCCTGAGTTTCCTCCGGGTGCTTCCTCCTCTGCTATCCTCCGCTGCCGGAGAGGGCTTCTCAGGAGCCGGTGGCGTTGCTGACACAGAGGTGTGAGCCCTCAAGGAGCGAGTAGACTCTATATGCAAAAAAAAGTATATTGTCTAACATCTTACATGGCTTTTTTAGAATGTAACAAATACTGCGTACCAGCACCCTTTAAGCTTACTGTTTAACATAACATAACATCCGCCATCATGGACTCAACTTCCACTGCTATGCTGATGATACCCAAATATATCTCAGCACTACTCCATCCTCCCAGCTCCCCCCTCAGCCTCTTGTAAACTGCCTGCACGACATAAAAACCCGGATGTCGTCCAATTTCCTCAAACTCAACAGCAGGAAACCATGGCTGCTCCAGAAGGTTGGTGACTTCGTCCTTGAGGTTGACGGCTGCTCCATCTCCCCATCTCCTGAAGTCCGCAACCTGGTCATCTTTGACTCCACCCTTTCCTTCCACTCCCACATGAAGCACCCCCAGGAAAGCCATAGCACCCCCTAAGCACCCCCAATAAATGTATGATTTTTATGAGTGAAATTCATAATTTGAAAAAGGATTGATTTGAAAATAATATGCTACAGTACAGTACAAGTAGCCTACTTCTGGGTCTCTGTGTTTCCTTCAAGCTCTGCTCTGTGTTGTGTGTGGCACGAGCCATTTTGTGTGCGTGCGCGAGCGAGTGAGAGAGAGAGAGCGAGCGTGCACCTGAGATCGTTGTGGTTAGCATCTGGTGCTAGCTATGCTAACGGCTATAAGGAGCTTTTTCAACAACAAGGTGGAGGGAGAACTCTTTCCTGTCAGACTGAGAGTCTCAGATAACCTCAGCTCAGGTGAAGTAAAGGACTCAGTGTTTGGTTAACTTTAGTCTAAGTTATCTCAGTGGGTCTCAAACGGTTTGGTCACGATTAATGTAAATAAGTATTTCTGAGGCACACGTTTATATGATCATTATAGGTATACAAAAATAAGAGCATAAATGAAAAACAGGTATGAAATACTATATGACAGTAAAACAAGAATACAGTTTGAAAGGGGAGTGATTAGTAAAATATCCATAAAGAAATAGAAAATCTGTTTACAGTTCTGTTTCATATGGGTGTTGAGAGATGTATCCATAGATCTCTTCATTTTGCTCTCAAAGTGCACCATATTGATGCATTTAACTTCAATATAAAAAAAAAAAAATCTTCCCGGGGGAGCATGCCCCCAGACCCCCCTAGAGGATGTTAGGTCCACCCCCCACTTAAAAAATAGTACTTTACTCCTGCTTACACCTATATGCCGTGAGCTGATTATCGAGCCTTCATTGTAATAGTCGCGGGTACACTGTGTGTGCGTGTGGGGAGTGTTGCGGTAGAAAATTCAACTGTAGCGCCCGGGACATTGATGGGAACCCCTACATGTTTGAGCACCCTCTATGAAATGTCAAGCTATCCCACAGCACCCCCAAAAGAAAATATCTGGCGCCGCCACTGGCATCAAGTCTGTCACCAAATCTGCCTTTTTCCATCTAAAGAACATTGCCAGACTCCGACCGTCACTCTCGGAGTCGGTTGCAGAACCCTAGTCCATAGCCGCGTTCACACCGCAGTACTTTTCCCACTTTAGTTCCGATATAGTTCCGAAATGTCGCGTTCACACCAAAAAGAGCCGGAACTAAAATGAGTTCATCAGAACCTTTTTTACCCCCTTTTCCGTCCCTGCTAGAGAGCAGGTATTTTCGCGGTAGAATTTTTTTTCCTATGTCTGATTGGCTGGGCGGAATGCAAACCACGCCCCGTAAAACTCCCAAAAAGTTTTGTAAAGCCGCCATTTTATTATCCTCGCATTAGCATTAGCCCAGCGCACAAACGCAGAGAGACTAACTTATGGCAACACAAAAGAAAACATGGGAGCGGTGGAGATGAGGAGGTGTCGGCGTTCTGGCGTTCGGCTTCAGTAGAAGCCAGTCCCCAACTCCGGGGACTTCGAGTGGCAATATACGCCGTAAAGTTGTTTGCGGCCTGCCAGTAAACCCAAAGCAGAAGAAGAGACGTCAGAGGCTTCATTTGCCTAATCCTCCCTCAGGGATTTATTCCGGTGTGAACACGATCTGTACTAAGTTCTCATGAACCTTTGTGGGAAAAGTACTGCGGTGTGAATGCGCCTCATGCTTTCGTCATCTCCCGCTTGGACTACTGCAATGGTGTCCTGTTTGGGGTCCCCAACAAAACCCTGGACAGGCTCCAGTATGTTCAAAACTGTGCTGCCAGGGTACTCACACATACAAAGCCGTGGCAGCACATCACTCTAGGGATGGGTATCGTTAAGGTTTTAACGGTACTACTACTTTTATCGATACCGCTTATCGGTCCGGTCTTTTAACGGTACTCTTATCGGTTCTTTTGGGGGGAAAAACAAGGTAAACTAACTAAACAAATTGTGAACAAAACTAACATTGCTTTTTATTTAAATAAAATAAATAATATTTCACATCAAAAGAAACAACAATGCTTTAACAAATCGTATTAAATAATCTGATGACAGAATCTCTTAAACTTTAACAAAATAAATAACTCAGTTACCTCTAATCATTAACCCATGTTTCAGTTTATATAATTGAGTTAACTCGGTGTGTTGCTGCTAGCATACATACTACCTGACGTGGAAACGTTACTTGTGGATGGGGCTACAGAGCTACTAGAAAGACAGTCGAACCCGGTGCATTTCTCCGTCTGAATGTGGAGCACTTTTGCAAGATGTTTAGACAAATTGCTCGTGTTACCGTCCTTACATGCTAAACTCTTATTGCGCTTTTGGTAACGAGCATTTTCCACATCGAGACTGGTAAAGTTTAACCACACCTCGGAGCGCGTTCTCTCGGCAATCTCCTCCGTGTGTGTTTTGCTGCTTGTAGCAGCTGCGTGTGTGTAAACTGCCCCGCCTCCTCTCAAGCAGGCGGGGGAGAGAGAGATCTCTCGCCTGGATTGGAAAGATCAAAAATACTAAAAATAATCATAGACGTATTTTGCAGTCTTTTTGCGTATTAGAAACGGAGTTGGCGACACTAATACTGCAATATAATGTTTGTGTAGCAATAATACACACAACATATATTTTTTACATTTCTCCAGTACCGATAAAAAGACGGTACCACGGTCTTTAATAATTCAGCCCCGGGGCCCGTTTAATACCGGGGCTCGGTACCCATCCCTACATCACTCCCACCCTAATCCACCTCCACTGCCTGCCGGTCAAGTCCCGCATAACCTACAAAGTCCTCCTCCTTACCTACAAGTCCCTCCATGCCCATGCCCCCCAGTACCTATCGGACCTCCTCCAATCCAATCCAATCCATTTTATATATATAGCACATTTAAAAACAACAGAGTTGAACAAGGTGCTGTACATAAACAACTGTATAAAAACATAGCATAAATACATAAAAACAGACAGGACATGAAACAAATGTAATACACGAGACAATGAAACCAGATCAGAAGCCACAGACTGAAAAACTCTCCTATATGACGTAAAAACAATACAAAACACTAGTAAGGTAAAAAAAAACACATTTAACAGCACAAGTGTCACCTGGTCTGTACAGTAAAAGCCAGGGAAAATAAGTGGGTTTTCAAACGAGATTTAAAAACAGGCAGAGTTGGAGCAAGTCTAACCTGGAGGGGTAATTCGTTCCATAACTTTGGAGCTGCAACAGCAAAGGCTCTGTCTCCCCGCTGCTTTAGCCTCGATTTTGGGACTACCAGAAGGAGTCTGTCAGCAGACCTCAGTGACCGTGTGGGTGTGTATGGTTTTAAAAGATCTGCCAGGTACGGTGGGGCTAAACCGTTCAGGGCCTTGTGTGCAGCAACATTTTAAATTGTATTCTAAAATGGACTGGTAGGCAGTGTAAAGAGGCGAGTACAGGCGTAATATGTTCACGCCTGCCTGTCCTTGTAAGGAGGCGTGCAGCAGCATTCTGGACCAGCTGTAGGCGTGACAGGGAAGCCTTGGTTACTCCAATATAAAGAGCATTGCAGTAATCCAGTTTAGTGGATATAAAACAATGTATTATCTTCTCAAAGTCATTAAAAGAAAGGAAAGGCTTGACCTTTGCTAAAAGTCTTAGCTGAAAGAAGCTGGATTTGACCACAGAGTTAATCTGTTTGTCTAGTTTAAAATCACGATCAATCCGTACACCCAGGTTTGTGACAATGGGTTTCACATATGGGACAAGAGAATCCAGCACAGGTGGGGCATTGGGGCCACCACTGGGTCCAAATATTATGACCTCTGTCTTTTTTTCATTGAATTTTAAAAAGTTCAAGGCCATCCAGGCTCTGATGTCCTGCAGACAGTCAGACAGACGTTGCTGAGGGTTTGGGTCATTTATTTTCAGGGGCATTTAGATTTGCGAGTCATCTGCATAAAAATAAAATGAGACACCAGAGGAGGAAGTAAATTCATTAAGATTTACATTAAAACTTCTTTCAGACAGATACGACTTAAACCAGTCTAGAGCAGTACCACTGATTCCCACAAAATGTTGCAGGTGAGAAATGAGAATACTGTGATCTCCAGTGTCAAAGGCAGCTGTCAGGTCTAAAAGTATAAGAACAGCACTGTTCCCAGAGTCAGTAGCTAAAAACAGGTCATTAAAAACTTTTAAAAGAGCAGATTCAGTGCTGTGGTGGGGTTTAAACCCAGACTGGAATACCTCAAGAATGCCATGCACATTTAAGAAGGACTGCAACTGCTTCAGGACCACTTTTTCTAAAAATTTGGACATAAAAGGAAGTTTAGAGATAGATCGAAAATTGTCAAAAACAGAGGTGTCCAGGTTTGGTTTTTTAATCGAAGGCTGGACCACAGCATGTTTTAGGCACTTTGGTACTTTTCCTGTACTCAGGCTGCTGTAAATTATATTAAGAACGTTAAGTCCAACAATGTCCCAGATTTCTTTGAAAGATCGCACAGGGACAACATCGCTTGGAGAACCTGATCCTCCGCCCACATGCCCCACCCCGGAACCTGTGGTCTTCAGACTCTGGCCTGCTCACCACCGTCCGGACCAACCTGCGAACCTTCGGGGACCGAGTCTTCAGTGTGGCAGCCCCCACCCTCTGGAACGCTCTCCCTGCGGAGATCCGCAACATCCCCACGCTTGACGCCTTCAAAAGGGCCCTCAAGTCCCATCTGTTTGCCAAGGCCTTTGGCCCCTAATTTATTTATTGTTTTGTCTGTCTGACTAATTGTCTTGACTGCCTTTTGTTTTGTTTGTTTGTTTTTACTGCTGTGTTTCCTTGTAAAGCGACCTTGGGTCCCATGAAAGGGCGCTATTTAAATGTTATAACTAGGGCCGGGACTCGATTAAAAAAATTAATCTAATTAATTAGAGGCTTTGTAATTAATTAATCGAAATTAATCGCATTTTTAATCACATATAAATATTTGACCTGAGAACAGTGAGAAGCAATTTTTTTCACATGGATTTTAGTATACCATTAGGCGCATTCACACCGCAGTACTTTTCCCACAAAGGTTCATGAGAATTTAGTTCATGAGAACTCTTTGAACCTGGGGGTGGATTAGGCAAATGAAGCCGCTGACGTCACTTCTTCTTCTTCTGCTTTGGGTTTACTGGCAGGCAGCAAACCACTTCACGGCGTATACTGCCGCCCAAAGTCCCCGGCCGGAAGTCCCCGGAGTTAGGGACTGGCTTCAGTAGAAGCTGCTGGGAGTCCTTCCGAGTAAATCGCCAGAACGCCGACACCTCCTCATCTCCACCGCTCCCATGTTTTATTTTGTGTTGCCATAAGTTAGTCTCTCTGCGTTTCTGCGCTGGGCTAATGCTAATAATGCTAATGCGAGGATAATAAAATGGCGGCTTCACAAAACTTTTTGGGAGTTTTACGGGGCGTGGTTTGCAATCCGCCCAGCCAATCAGAAATATAGCTCTTTTCTCACAAGAGAGCCGTACGAAAGTCCCTGCTCTCTAGCAGCTCTCTGCTCTCTAGCAGGGACTTTCGTGGGGGTAAAAAGGTTCTCATGAACTAATTTTAGTACCGGCTCTTTTTGGTGTGAACGCGATAAAAGAGGCTAACGTCCACAGCTAGCTTCCACGCTAGCTGCTATATGTTTTGCATTGAGGTGATACTTGAGGCTTGATGTGCTGCGGTGATATGCAAATTCCTTTTTGCATAATTTGCACACAACCGTGCTCTTATCGACGCTTCCATCCGTCCGTTTTTTAAAACAACATTTCCCACTGTTGTTCACTGTGGTTTGTTGTTGTCTGAAGTCATGAACGTTAGTTGGTGCTCCAGTATAATCGGTACGCCTGAAACTCATCCAGTGAGAAACGTTCCGCGGTGCAAAAATAAGTGCGATTAAAATGCGTTAATTTTTTTAACGCGTTAATTTTTGTGTAATTAATTAATCTTAATTAACGCGTTAAAGTCCCGGCCCTAGTTATAACAAATTCAAATCATGTATAAGAATAACACATAGTTGTCTTACAGGGCACTACTTGCCGGACTATTTATTTGCTATTTTCAAGAGTCTTGTTGTCACTGTTAGTTTGCCAGGCTACAGTAGCTATAGCAGAGAGTTGTACATCTGATTTTAGCAAGGAAGCAATGAAATGTATTTTCCAAAACGACTACATTTACATGTCTTTAGGGATCTCACCTGCTGCGCTCTGAGTGCTGCTAGTGGCATTATGTGATGAAGATGAGGAGGGTGGAGAGTGTGTAGAATGGCGTGCCGAACTCCGTGTTCGTCCTGCTGCTGGACTGTCTGCCTTCCCGTTGACCAGCTGAGGGGGCTGTTTGGCGGGGACGATCTGTCTCAGAGAGGGGGGCCGTGAAGGGGGCGGCGACGGCTCCCTTCTCGCGGTCACCCTGGATGATACACGTCTCTTCCTCTCCGGACTAGAGGTAGGATGGAAGGAAAGAATAAATAAAAAAACAGATCTACACAAAGCAAGAGCCTCAAATGAGATGTCCCGTGTTCTACCTGGATGCCGTGCTGCTTGCTGGAGATTCACTCCTCCTCCTCCTGCGCTTCATTGCATGCCGTGTCTGTCTGTCCGTAGTGTGTCTCGTCTGTCTGTCGGTGCTCTGCCTGGTCATTTTATCTGTCAGACCATGGATGGCCTTGTAGTCGGCCAGGATGGAGCTGACGTGCTCCTCAAACAGAGCCGAGAGCCTCAGACTCATGCTGTAGATCTGGTGAATAAATAAAGGACAAGTTATTTAATTTATGTTTTCATGGTACATTTTGCTTAAAGCACTGGATGTAAGGATTGTGTGTGTGTTTGTGTGTGCGTGTCTCACCCGGGACTTCTTACTGGGCGTGTAAGCTTTGGAGTTGCTGAAAATGAGCCGGACGTCTTTGCAGAGCTTAATGGGAGATTGGTACTTTCCTTCTTTGAGCGTTTTGAGGACGGTGCTGAAGTCTATTGGCGAGTCAACGATTTGAAGGTAGTCCTGAGAACGAAAGAGAGAAGTTTGGATATTTCAATTACAGGTTTAAAAGACGAGAACCAAATAAGCCGGGGAGAAGAAGCAGGGGAAAGGAATTAGAGATCTGGGGTTTCACTTTGAAATGGGCCGGGGGAAAACACTGAACCAAAAGCAAAACGGATTTCCAGATGCCGACTGAATAGCTAGATTCAAGGACCAAAAGAATGTAATAGAAAATGCAAATGAACCCGAGCCCAATGGAAATGTACATTGAGCTAAACTGAGATCACATAAAGAAAAACAAAAAGAGCACGTACGGGGTATTCCTGTAGGTCCACAGGTTCTCTGAAGGGCTCTGAGTCTTCACACTGAAAGATGAGATCCAGCAGCTCCTTACAGCGGCCCTTCCACGCATGAGGGTCGTATGAAGGGGGGCGCGTTCGCAGTTGCCGCTGCGTAGGCCGACGACCCTGCAAAAAAAAGAGAAAAGAAGATGAGTGAATAGAAGAGATTTCACTGGCAAATACAAGCAGACTAGGGACAACTACTAATGTAAACAATTGAGAACACACGATGTTGTCAGATGTTACCTTATGGTTTCTCGTGGATGTTCCAGGAGTATTGGTATCTTCATCCTCCTCCTCATCATCCTAGATAGATAAAAAAGAGGGAATGATACAAAGGTTACCTACAGCATATTGTAATCTCCCTCCAAGCTTCCAACTTGTCATTTCATTTGCATGTTATCACGCAGATACACAAACGCACCTCGTCCTCGGAGTCAGAGAAGGTGGCCTTCTTCATAGTTTTATAATGGGGCATGATGTCTGTCATGCTTTGGTCCCTGAAGAAGAAAAGTGTTACAAGTGTTAATATAGGTGTTAATACAAGCAACCGCTGTACATATTGTTGTAATCATATTTTTATTTATGTTGTCTATTGTAATAACATCTGTCTATTCCTTCTTATATTTAATAGAAATATTTGGATTTGACTATAACTTCTTGTGTTTATATACAGCACATATTCCTTTTAATGGAGCAACTATCACAAAACCTCATCCGGCCACCCCAGGATGAATTGAGTATACTCACTTAATGAAATGCAGGATGAGGTCAGAGACAAACTTGGCGGTGGTGACGATGAACGCTCCGGGCTCGTTGAATGCTTGAGCGTTGTGTTCGATGTAACGCACCTCCCACATCAGGGAGGACAGGCGTCTGCAAAGGAAACGCAAACATGTTGAGTGTGTATTTAGTTCTCTCCCGTACACACACACTGTTCATGTATCTTATTTGACTCAAGAACCAGATGATGTGAGGTACCTGTAGAAGCGGTTCACCAGCCTCTCTCTCATGGTGCTGAGATCAGTGACGTAAGCCACCACCGTGCAGTAGGTGGGGTAAGCTTGGAGGTCCACGGGGAAGGCGAATGGTGCTGCCACATCTGAGGGGGGGAGAATTAGTTAGTGGGTGAAAGATAAGAGAAAGCACAAGAAAGTGAAGATGTTTACTGAAACAAATATGCTGTAAGAGACAAGCACTGACAGGCTTTGTCCAGCTTTTAAAGAGTAGGATTTAAGCATTTTAAAGGTAACTTAAACCAACATTTTCCAGACTCTAGAAACATTTATCATCACATTTTTACTAATTAAATAAACGGTTACAAGTAAGGATTTTCCTTCTTACGCACTCAGCTCAGGCACTGCTCATTTTGACTTAAATTATACATTTTAAACATGCTTATTTAATACTTAGCTAGCTCTGGTCTGTTCTGTGGCCGGTGGGGGACACCACGAGACAGCAAATATATCTTTTCATTTTTGGAGTGATTGAAGATGAAATACAACTAAGCATTGTTCAAGGAGTAGAGTTGAATTCAAGCGTTTTCCTTATCTTGTAAATATAACAGTTAACACTAAGCATCTTCCAAACATTCAAAACATTGTGAGAATGCTTTTAGTAAACACTTAAAAAGGTGGATTTCTTATCTTTTTAATATATGGAATTGCAACTTACTACATAAATATCCTCAGGAAACTTAGGACTGCTTTTACAATTATTTATTTGTAACTTTATAACATCTGTTTACATTCATCTATGCTACCTGTGCTAATGTTAGTACCTTGACTTGTCTTAAGAGCAATACTGGCCTCACACATCTATCCCCTATTCTTAAGATGTTCCTACTTATTCTGAGCATTATTTCCTAAATATAGCTGGACCTAAAGAGTTATATAAAGCCTGTCCTGTAAACTGACTGCAGCACGGAGCGTAGGAGTAACAGGGAGAGATCTAGAAGGATTTATTGAGCTTCTCTTGTGTTTAATCCCCAGACTGTCACTAGAGGGAGCCCTCACACCAGTTTGAGAGGATTGCAGTAATACAATCCCTTTATATGGCATTACAGCATTTAAGAGGAATTCTAGCAGGCAGCTGAATTTGTGGCTCGACTTGTTAGCGGGTCGTTCCTTTTAACATACGAGCTGTGTTCCTGCTGATGAACTCAGAGCGGTGACTCATGTAGTGTGGAGTCATGCTGCCCTGCTTTACGAGAAGTGAGCCCTCGTGGCCTTACTTCACATCCCTGCCTATGACATAAGGGCTTTTTGTTTTCACAGGGGTTTAAAGGGACAGTACACCGCCAAAAAAACAAAACATATTTTTCATATGATTTTTATTATTCTAGATTGTTTTAGTGTTGGATAGTATACCATAGAGATGTCTGAAATACATTTGAAAAACTAAAAGGCAATGTCTCTTTTCAGAAATCATGAACTGTTTTGTATGATAATCCACAGGACGTTGTTCCTACATGTAGGAACTATTTCCTTCCCAGCAAACTTCACCCATCAAACGCATTTACGTGTAGAAGGAAGTTTACTTGCGAAGCTTGTTAAAATGCCACGTGTAAACATTAATGACGTCTTCTTCAGCTGAGTTGTAAAGTTATCTATCTCAGTAAATGCACCGGCACTGGCGCAGGGACACAGTTGTAGTTCATTGAAAAAAGAAAATAGGTCCGGCGTAAAATTGCTCACAATAACACCTTTTGATTATCTTGAGTAACCGGGTCCTGGTTTCTGAAAAGAGACACTAATGTCTATCAAATGTTTGTTTTTTGCAACACAAGACCAGAGACCCATTTACTTCCATTATTTTCAGAGAAGCCTGACATGTCTAGGGCTGATTTCACCAAGATTCAGCTACATACACAAAATCCAATCAATTAAAAGTTCAACAGGAGAGAGGAAAATTATGTATTTAAGATTTTTCATCTCACCGAGTGTGCAGAGCTGGTCGATGGCTTTGATGATGCGTTCACACTCCTCTGCGCGCGTGTGGCAGCCCCACTCCCCCTCCAGAGGGACGTACAGCAGCTCCTTCTGCTCCTGTTCCACCAGCGGGACGCTCATGCCCAATTCTTCAGGGAACGTGGCTTCACAGGAAAGAAAAAGAAACCCCAAAAACCAACAACATCAGAGTTGTAAAATGTTGAATTAATAAAATAAATGACTATTGAATATTTTTTAAATGTGTGTTCACTGAAGTGTGGGAGTATTACAGTGACCTACCATCATCAGGGATGGGCTCCATGTCCCACGGACTCATCTTCTCTGTGTCTCCATTATCCCAGCTGGATGGGAAACAGTTGATATGATTTATTAACATAATCACATTGTAGGCTTTTTATTTGATAGATGACGTGTTGCCAGCACTGACGTCCCTCTGCCACAGCCGAAAGTGGGTGTCATTCTCTAACGAGGCTTTTCAAATATCGTGTGATCTTCAGCACTCCATGTTGATAAGGAAAACTAACACAAGCAGACAATATGCTCATTAATGTTTACAATTGGAATGTCACTGACAATGAAAATAGAGCGTTGCAAAACAAAGGGCAGTGTTAGATGGCCTGCTATAATGTCAAATTCAATCCGTCATCGATTTCTTCAATGATTCAATCCATGAGGTGTTTGTGCAGAAAATCAGTGTTGTGTCAGCGTTGGCATCGCAAGGAGCTATCTCTCTACATTTGCTTGAAATATTTCCAAATACACACATTCCTGTTACATGTAAACCTTTTTAATGAAATTGGTTCTCACATTTTTCATTATTACAAATGGGATCTAATCGTTCAGTATGGCTTAGGAACTCTTTGTTTTAGGAGGGAATCTCCTTGCTGATGCAAATAAATAGAATGATTACATACAATTCAATTTTGCAGTGCTTTCAACTGCAGCCTGAAACAGAGTAACATACCAGACGTTGTAGCACTGAAACAGGCTGTCAGGATACTGAGGCTGGAAGGGCTCCTGGCTCTCAATGGTCCCAAACCACCAGGCATCGTCAATGACCGACCTAAACCTGTCCCCTACACACACACACACACACACACACACACACACACACACACACACACACACACACACACACACACACACACACACACACACACACACACACACACACACACACACACACACACACACACACACACACACACACACACACACACACACACACACACACACACACACACACACACACACACACACACACACACACACACACACACACACACACACACACACACACACACACACACACACACACACACACCAAGTTTAGATGATCACAACAGAACACGGAGAAACTTGACCTAGAAACTACACAGGCAACATCTGGCTGACCTATACTCCACTGCCTCTTTCTGGCGTTGTCAAACTGTTGTCGCAGAATCAGGAAGTCGATGACATCAGGCATGTCGTGGTATCTGCAGCAAGACAAACACATACACAATAAGTCATTTTAAGAATAGATAAATAAGAATCATTAAGACAGTGTAAAATAGATGAGACACACACTTTGTAGTAACGACTTACCATTCCCATAACAGCATTTACTTTATCATGTCAGTCAGGATTAATAAATAACATTTATAATAGCTATTGTCTTGAGTTCATTAGGAATATAAATATGACATTCAAACCGAGCTCATAGATTACTATGGAGAATAGTTTCAGTAGCGCTGTGATGCTTCAGAAGCAAGCAACATTTTTCAAACACTAGTTCATCTTGTAACACCTGATCTTGACAATTTCTTCTAGCTTTTTAGACAGGGTGGGGTCTTACTTCATGGAGAAGGATCCTCCGGTCAGTCTGCCGCTGTCGGGGTCCAGGAAGGAAAGCTTCAGACAGCACAGAGTGGGCAGACCCACCTCATACTTAATGCCCACTATCTTCACCAACTCCTGCTCCTGTAGACCACAAGAAGATGAAAGAAGAAATGATGCAAATGAATACAAATCATTTCCTCTCAGGTAAAGAAATCACATAATTGGAACATAGTCCAAAGCACTTTACTGATAGAATCTCTTTAAGTATTTGTGTAGTCTTGAGGCTGAAGAGAATAATGCTTTATTGTCGCCATGTCTGTTTGTTCAAATAAAAGTAGAAGATACAGAAGAGAAACCTGCATTACAAACTACAGCAATATATTCTGAAGATGCACACTGCGCCCTGCAATGCATTATGGTCCGCCTCCTGCAAAGGAATTTCTATTTATGTCCCCACACATGGCAACAGAAATATACCAAGTGTAACTGCAATCCCTTAAGCTGTTACTTTAATGTTTTTTTTTATAAATCTTTTTCATTTGCAGGGATCAAAAGATGTTCTCTGCAGACATTTCTCTTTTAGTAGTATATTTTTAGTTTGGGAAAATGGATTTAAGTTTAAAGGAAAGTAGTGAAGGAATAATATTGCTAAGTTGTTAGCACTCTAATACTTTGTATGGATTTTACACCGTTGTAGCTTGCAACTGTGCTTCAATTCCTGCTATTTATTCCCATGGAGAATGTGTGTCATTCTATTTTTAGCTCCACTACCCTGACCTTTGAACCTGTTAAGCCCTGAGCCTGTTTTTCAGGTCTCAGGCTCGGAAATGACATTCCCAGAACAAATGACCATATCTTCCCTTCTAAAAGGGTTAAATTAATAATCTTTTTTCTCAAAGTAATGATAAACCTGTGAGTTGGATGTAGAGAAGTCAGAATCAATATAGATGTTTTTTATTTTAAAGAAAGTTCAGATTGAACATAGTAAAAAACTGTAAATTATAGTGTCCGTCCAAAAAATATGTTGTACTTATAGTGAAAACTAACCTTGGATGATGGGTTAGTAGACTAAAAGCTTTAGGAATCCAAAGTACAACATTTAATAAGTACCCTGTATTAAGATTGATGCAAAACAAGTGATATTTGACCTTTTTAGACAGATTTAGCAAAAAAACCCTCTTCTGGGGCCATTTGGGTGGATTTTCCTTACCTCTGGCCCCCCTTGCTGGATTTTGACATGTGACATCTCTTTCTGACCGTTAGAGCCAATAGAATCTAAGGGGAATCTCCCCGCACACACACATGGTAAAACCATAGACTGTATATATAAAGGGTAAAACGAAAAGGTGGGGGCTTTGTGCACACAGTTTTGCTCCAGAGTGAAGCTGTCTCTAGGTCTGACATCTCAAAACCGAAAAGCAGATTTATTGCTCATGGATTATCAGAAATCATTCAAAGTGACACAGACACATTGGATTAACCTATGGATTAACTTCAGCATCGTTTTTATGCCATTGAAGACCACTTTTGACCAGACTACCACACAGGTGAGCCATTTTGCCGTTTTTGGCTAACTAGCTCCATATGTTTTGATGTGTGTTCTTGTTATTATCTCCGAGAGTTCGTATGATTGAGTGATAATGAGGATAACCATCGATTCTGTGTCCCCTCACGATGTGAAACGATGGGTTGAGATGTGCAGCAAAGATAAATAATAAGGTTTTGTGAGTGAATTTCGGTGCAGTCATCTGTTAGCAGTTTTCGCTCGTTGCTAATTCAGATGCTCAGCGTTAGCATTGTGGGGTTTTTTGGAGAAAAAAAATGAAAATGATCAGTTAGATGAGTTTCTTTCCGTTACATGGATATAAAACATTCATAGTTTATTAAATGAACATGCCCTCAGACACTGTTTTCTGCAAGATATTGCAGGAGGCCCCCGTTACCGGGGTCTCTCCGGCTCTTACTTTGAAAACATCATCAGAAAGAAGACGTGTCTGAACATATTTATTTTATGTTTTTAATGATTTGCTATTAATTCAACTGTAGAAAATGTATTCCTATGTGTCAAGTGTACTGTATTGATTTCTGGCTCTTCTCTGATATTTTTAAATGGTTCTTCCTAGTTTAAGGTGTGGAGTGCACACATAAAGAGACAATATGAGTCTCTAGATACTTCAGGGTTTTTAATGTGACAATGTCAACCTGTTCCTTACCCAGATATTAGACTTTATTAGCAGAAAGGGTAATATGAACATGTACCAAGACCGAACCTCCAACAAACAGCCAAATATAAGGTCTCTGTTTTTATGTTTTTTTGTTTATTATGGGGATTTTTTAACTTGTTATTGGTGGTGGAGCTGGAGCTTAGGGCAAATGTAGTGGTGGTTTAACCTGGCTACATTCACCTCCTCACTTTGGTTTTGCATGGAGAGAGAGTGGACAGTGAACGGGGAAGCAACATTTTCTGTTGACTGCCATTTTTAACATCAATATCCATCACACTTGCACTCGCCATTGCACTCACACTTACTGGTATTGGAATGTATTGTAACTTTCCCTGTTTTGTGGAAGAATAAATGGTCAAACGCACGCAAGTAATGGAGGAGATTTGTATATGCGCTTCAATGTGTGTAGTCCCGTATTAAGCCCCTTGCAGCTTTTTTCTTGGACTGCCTACAACCGTAATACACTGACTGGAGATATGGAGAGTATGGAGATAAATACTTTTGCGTTAAAGAAACATGTTGATAAATGAGTATTGCATCGTTTGTTTTTGACCCTTTTACTGATTGTTACTGTGTTACCTGACATGTATTTCCATCTTTATAACATGTGTAAGGCAAGGCAAGTTTATTTATATAGCACCTTTTAACACAAGGCAATTCAAAGTGCTTTACAAAAATGAAAGACATTAAGAAAATGGCATTTAAAAACAGTCCTTAAAAAGCAAAGACAATCAAATAAACATTAAAAGAAAAATAAGTTATTAATAAAAGTTATTTTATCCATGTAACAGTGCAGTTTAAAGGTGGGGTAGGTAATTTTGGAGAAACCAGCTCGAGTGTGCTAGAATTTGAAAATACACAGCCGGAGAAAATCTGCCACTTCCTTCCAGAGCCCCTCCTCCAGCACACACGAACGCGCACATGACCAATGAGGGCACGAGATAAGTTTGTGCACAGATGGAAGGCTGACAGGCAGGTAGGCCATCCAGTTATTTTAGCCGGGCCGGATAAAATGATTGGTCATGCTTTTTACAGTACTACGGCTTCCACAGATGAGATATTGTTATGGATTTTTTGTCATAGCACTTAAGATATTCATTGCTATCGGGACGTTAAGAGCATTCCATGGAATATAACAAAAGTGTATCTCGAGCTGGTTTCTCAAACTTACCTACCCCACCTTTAAGATATGAATAGTTCATATGAATGGATAGGTGACCAGTAGGGGTGTAACGGTTCACAAACATTTCGGTTCGGTACGTACCTCGGTTTTTTGGTCACGGTTCGGTTCGGTACGTTTTCGGTACAGCAGATTTTTTTTTCACAAAACAAAACATATATATATATATATTTTTTATTATTATTAAACTGTGAATAATGTATTCACTCAAATAAATACAAAATATAATAAAATAAACATTAAGGTGCAGCATTTCGATGAACTGAAATAATCTGTATTTGAACTTTACTGTAGGCTACTAGTACTCACAAAACATAAACTATTAGTTTTGGGTTTTTAATTATTATTAAACTGTGAATATTCACTCAAATAAATACAAAATATAATAAAATAAACATTAAGGTGCAGCTTTTCGATGAACTGAAATAATCTGTATTTGAACTGTACTGTACTAGTTCCTAAGCAGCCAGTTTGACATTATGACTTGCTTGTCATTGTATTTTCATGTTTTTTTAAAGAAAAATTAACTTGTCCACATTGCTTGCCGAAAGGGCAGATCTGCTGGCACTAACAATGTCTCCTGCTGTGGAGAACACCCTCTCGCTAGGGACAGAGGTAGCAGATACAGCCAGGTAGCGCTTTGCTAACATGGCAACATAAGGATATTTGGCGTTTGTAATAGCTTTGGCTCTGTCTGAACTCTCTGCGAGTGGTGGAGGCTTACATGCTAGTGGGAGTTGGGTTTGCACTTCAGTCTTTTTTCTTTTGGTACCGGTGATATTCACGTTCGAGTGATGCCTTTTCAAGAGTGTGCAAGTTTGATGTATTGCCAGCCGCGTAACCAATTTTAGTTGAACAATGCCGACAAACAGCTTTGGTTCGGTCCACCTGTCTTTGTCCTTCATCCTTGTACGTAACTGCGAAACCAAAATGTTCCCAAACCGGAGACTTCAATGATGCTGGAGGATTTTCGAGCTCAACTTTATCTGCGTTCGCCATTAATTTTCGACAGTTCCTCAAATTACTGACTACATTTGAACGCATCCCTCTGACCAGCTCTCATAGTATGCCTCTCATCCAATGAAATGACTTGCTCGCTCTATGACGCGTTGAACCCAATGTGACCAAATTACTCTGAATGCTGCGACGCAGCACCTGAGATTACTTCCAAAAAGTTGTTCACGTTCTCAATTTTTTACGTTTAACGTTATATTCGTTCGGTACACTTCGGTACACACCTGTACCGAACCGAAGGGCCCGTACCGAATAATTTCGGTACGGGTACGTGTACCGTTACACCCCTAGTGACCAGCCATGTGGTCTATTATGTTTTGCTTCTTCAAACAATACTAAAGTTTAAAATAATCAGTTCCTTACCCGTAGCTCCATCTTTTGCCAGGGCTGCTTCTTAGGGTTGATGCTGTAAATCTTTTTTTGTCTGGCCATCTCCACGTAGGCCTCGTGGCCCTGTCTGAAGTAGTATAACTGCAAACAAACATACATAATTTTCATCGTGTCTTATTCATATTTCTGGACATTATGCACATTTTTTCTGGAATTGAGTATCTGCTTCGGATAGCAATGTCAATGTGCCCCTTTTTTTGTGTGTGTATGTAATGGCAGATGCAGCCTCGGGGGGACGCTAACTTTGGTGCAGACTATTCTTGTTGCTATGTTAAACATGAGCCAGTGTTTTGGTATTAGTAGACATGTGGTGAGGTTAGTGTAACAGAAGCAGGCGGCGTGTACCTCGTCTCCCATCTGGGGTATGTAAGGACATCTGCGGGGGACCGTGTCCGTGATCCAGGCGGAGGGAAGCCACTCCTCCAGAGTTAGCCCTTGCTCCTGGAGATCTGACCTCTGAATGACACACAAGGAAACACATATTCAGGTACAGATCTTTGATAGATTTGAGGTGGAATATTCAGCTTTTTCATTTGAGTGATTTATGAATTGCTCTTAAAATACTGTCTCATTGTATTAGTGCAAATGGATGATAGGTCAAAAAAAAAGAATGATTTAATAAATGGAAAGCTACCATCTGAAACACACTGGATAAAATGTTTTTTATTGAAGTTAAAGATCAGATTTTCCCGGAACAGCTGTTCAAATGCATTTGGGAAAACATGGGGCCCATTTTTCCAATTTGCTAAGAGGATACATTTCCTCACCATTCCTGATTAAAGTTTTGCAGCATTGGGATTGTCGTTGGGAGGAGGAAGTGCTGCAGTTTATTTATTTATAATTAGAAGTAGTATTTGTGTCAGCTGTTTCCTTTAATTAGTTTATGGCCTTTGGTGTTCAGCAATATTTCAATTTACAGTGAAAATTGTTCCTCCTACATGTTTGTTCTGATATAACAATTGTATGCTATTGCAAAACCCACTAAACAAAGTTTAAAAAACAACAACTCTAAATAAGCCACAAGTAGAGAATAATGATTATAACTATTGACTAACCTTCCTCTTCTCCTTTGGCTGCTTCTTCTTTGGTACTTCGTCGTCTTTGTCGACCTTGTCCTTCTTTCTATCCTTCTTCCCGTCCCTCTTCTTCTCTCCGTCTTCCTCTGAGCTGCTGCTTTTCTTTTTCACTCTCACACTCTTCTTAGGCGGCTCAAGGTTGATCCCTGCGTCGGCTGTCCAGTCGGAGTAATCACTGGAGTAGTCACTGTGAACACATCAACAGAGAAGATGAAATGCACAGATGTATGTGACAGTGTTTCTGTTTCTATGTGGTGTGTGCATGTATCTGTAGGAGATATGATTCATGTGTTTGATAAACAGGACTGTGTCTTACCTTGAACTACTGTGGTCTTCCGGCCAGGGCTCTTTTTGTTGCTCCTCCTTCTCCTCATCGGAGGAATGCCCATTGATTTGACGAACATCCAGCTCTGCCTGGGAACCCATATTGTTTTATGTTAGAACCCCCAACAACAACAATCATTTCCTTAAACCACATGTGTCAAACTCAAGGCCCGGGTGCCAAATCAGGCCCTTGGTGGATTTAATTTCGGCCCACAGGATAATTTTTAATTCCTATTAGATCTGGCCTGCCGGTATATTGCACGCACACCTTCACTCCATCCTGAGGATTTCCTCAGCTCAGAGCCTGACCCCAAACATTGATGAACTTGCACCCAAGATGAGATGCCAAGTATCTGGTTTGAACTAGCATCACAGAGCAGCACACTGAGTTTCAATGGATGTTTCCTTCTGCACTTTGTTTCTCACGACAACAGGGCATGTTTGTTTTTTTCTTTGAGGGAAATAGTTTTTTTGAAGCTGTTGTTGGCCTGTGGGAAAATGTAATCCTAAGAAATGACTCTGGAAAAGCTGCAGATAGAGCCATAAGAAATGAATGCAACTGATTATTTAATGTTTAATGTTGTTTTTATAGGCAATCATTTAAGCTTTGTTAGTTCCAGGCAGGGGTGCACATAACTTTTTTGCCCTGATTCTCAAAGGAGCACCTGGAGATGTTGCTTGGTGCTCATCCTTAAAATGAAATAAATAAACCGGTCTTTATTTGCCAGACACACGGCACAGAACACACAGAGGTGAACACAGAACACACATGCAGAGGTGAACACAGAACACACATGCAGAGGTGAACACAAGACAACATTAGCACGACCAGTAATCCTACAAAATGTCATCACTTCCCTCCTGACTGTTCTCCTCACTGTCTTCCTCTCTGTCAGACATGGTAGCTGATGATATAGGCCTACTACTTTCTCTCTGGTTGAGTCTGCGATTAGCTGCTTGCATCCACAAGTCAACAGCTGGGTTTGGGTCGAAAGTCCAGTTTTAAAAGGATATGTTTGGTTACTGTCCTATAGTATACATTGGAATGATTTCAAACCTGTTTATCCCAATAATTATAAAGGAGTGCCTTGAAAATATGTGTTTACATAAATTGTGACCAAACCGTTTGAACTTAGACTATGAACTATCTAAACACTCAGAGTTCTTTACCTCACTGAGCTGTAGTTATCAGTCTCTCGGTCTGACTGGAGAGGACTCTCCCTCCACATCATTGTAGAAACATCTTCTTCTTATATCCGCAGCTAGCACCAGATTCTAATAACAACAGCGCCGGTACCGGTGCACCCTCCCTCTCTCCCTCGCACTTTGGCTGTGAGCTGCGGGTGCCAGACAAGCCAACATCCCCCATTTTCATCACTAACAGCGGCCATCGTACAGGGCAAATGAAACGTGTAACCGGGGTGAAAAGGGTGTTACATTTACTTAATTATGAATGTTGTTACATCAAGGCCGAAAATTAGGATGAGCACCAACGGTCAAAAATGTTTTTTTCCCCTCCCAGAACTACCAGCGCAGCGCCTCCACAGATCTGGCGCCCTAGGCGAAAATCAACGCCAGTGCGACGGGCCGGCCCTGAGTTCATATGCAACTCGCAAATATATTTCTCTCTCTCTCTTCTCTCTCCCTCTCTCTTAATGTTGGTACGCAAATGCGCCTTTTTTCAAATGACCCGGTGCTCTTTTTTTGGCCGAGGTGCGCATGCGCACCAGTTATGTGCAGCCCTGGTTCCAGGTTTAATATGTGCAATAAGTTCATTTCAATACGTTTTGCAATAAACATTGAACCCGTCCGGCCCTCGACTTGTACCGATTTTTTTAATTTTGGCCCACCGTGTATTTGAGTTTGACACCCCTGGTATAGACTAAAGCGATGAAAACATTGGATTCTTTACCACTGTAAATTACCAAACCAACCAAAGAATCTATAAGCTTACATCTTGGAAGTTAGTGTAAGTCATCAGTGTAAGATTTAATTCATTCATACATGTAAACTCACATTTACACACATAGAGATATCAGTTTTTATCTGAACTTTATAAAGAATTTTCTTTAAGAACCTTTGAAATTGGTTAGATTTTTCTATCTAACTACGTTTTACATTTAAATGTACTAGTATTCTATAATAGTTCTAAGTGCTAAAGTCCCTAGGGGCAGCTAAAGGTTAACATGCTAGCAAAGTCTGAACAGAGGGTTGTGGAGAAATCTGCTAATCTGAAATTGGGCTAGAAGTGTAAAATGACCAAATCAGAAGAGCCAACAAAATGAATCAAAATAAAGAAAATATCTTACTAAAAGTCCCTGCAATGGACCTGTATAACACAGATCAATTATTCAGAGTCACCTGTGTTTTAGAAAAGGGCTTACTACAGCTCCATGAAATATGAAACTGAATTCAAAAGAACACAGTAACAATTTGTTTCTACCTCTGAGGCGCTGTCATCGTCATCAGCAGCCTCTGCGCTCTGTCGGCTCGTCTCCTCCATAGCGGCGCGCGTGTGGTATCCGTGGTTACCCTGGCTCTTCCTTCCCTCATCCACTGACTCTGATGTCGGATGAACCTGAAGAACAATTCAACAAGAATCTCTAAATAAATTAAAGAGTCATGAATGAAAAAAAGTGATATCAATATTGTGTTCCTGTACAAAAGTAATGTGTGTAAGTTCACTCACCCTGCTCTCCTTAGGGAGGGAGTGGATGGTGCGTCTCCTCCTTTCTGACTGATAAATATTGATCTCCTCCTCTCCTTTAGCCTCACGCCAGGTAATCTGCCTCCTACACAAGAAGCAGACACACACACACACGCCATGGCTTGCTTTAATATGATCACCTCCAGAAACTCTTCCTCTCTGTGAGCGTGTGTTACCTGACGGAGGCGTTCTCCAGCTCGGGCACCAGCACCCTGCGGCTCCAGGCCACCAGGTCTCCCTCTGTGGCCATCTGGCTGCGCGGGGCGTTGCTGTGCATCTGGCGCACGCCCTCGATCTGCCCGCTGCGCCGCAGACCCACGTTGGGCGGGGAGTGCACCTCTGTGGGAGAACCCACGGATCCTGAGGGGAGAGAGGAGAGAAAGACAGAGAACATAAAACAGAGCTTTCAATTTGTCAGCAGCATGTAAGGATTAAATTGTCAGGAACTCAAGATTGTTGATAAACGATTAATATGCCAATTAGTGTGAGCATCACTACACCAATTGTTTTATCGCTTAAGTGTCAGAATAATGTGAAGTATTTCCATTGCAAAATACATTCTGCCTCTTTCACCTATGACAAAGAAAGCTCTGGGAACCTGGAACCAGCAAATATTTGATTTGTTTACTGGACACTTTAACCATTAATAATTTAAAGAGATAGTTGTCGAATTGTGTTGATAGACAAATCAATGATTTACATTTTTAGCACTTTTGCAAATAATGAGTGTTGCAAATTCCATTTGAACAAATCAAACTCCAAATTTCCAAAACATTGTGTTAATTTAATCAATTAAATATTATTCTAATTGTTTTGCTAGTTGTACTTTTCACACAGTACATTATACAATTTGGTGTGAGTTTTATGATTTATTTATTATATATATTTTATAGCTTTTTATTTTATTTTTAGTTCGAATTTTTTCTACCACTTTCTCTCCTGTAGTTACATGTTGGGGGAGGTACAATTATAGTTGGTAATGCTGACTGCATCTTTGAATATAACATTAAAAAAGATATATCTATAACTGGATTCAAATGGTGTTTGCAAATATTTCTCATCTTGTTTAAACCTGCTTTAAAGATGAAGTTAGCAACACACAAGGCCCCATTGTTTAGAAGTAATTGTGATAATGTCCTTGCTGCTCTACCCATACAGGTGGAAACAAAGGCTGCTTTTGAGACGCTGCCCACACTCCAGCAGAATGAGCTTCCTGTCATGACGCAGTCTTACCTCTGTTGGACCTGGTGTCATTGCCTCCCAGTCTCTGGTCCTGCTCCTGCTGCAGCCTCTGAATCATGGAATCCAGAGGACTGGGCCCTTCCGCCGCCTGCTCACTCACCACTTGGTTCAGGCCTGGAGTTAAGAGAGAAGAGAACCAGAAAGATAGATGAGACCATCAACCGCAAATGTATCATAACAACTGGATGTACACATTTCCCCATTGCATTCATTTTTATTTCTAGTCGAGGCTTTTTAATTGCCGACAGCAGGGCAGTATTCTGTAACTGGGAAACATGGAGAGTCATTTTGTCTCAAAATAAAATCATCTTTCCCCTCTTGCATCTTCACCTGCCTCCACGGTGCGCTTCAATGCATTTCATAAACAATTGCTCCTGTTTGCCTCCCTGCCAAGACTTTAAACTGCCTTATTATTCAGGTTTTAATTGCCAATTCGGTGTTGTTTCAGTTAAAGCGTCTCATTAAGCACATTTGAGAAGAGATCAAAACTCTTGTCAGGCTATAAGAGCGGTGTGATCTGCTAGACAAAAGAGCCTTTGATCAGCTGACAGAAGGCCCCCAGGTAAAGATGTGATCTGAGGGAAAGCGTAGAAGTACAACTGAGTTCTTGCCCTCAGATCACGCTGAGAGGAGATACTCCCGAGGGTCTGATTTCTTCTTTAAGCCTCTGTACCTGAGGAAGTGACCCCCATCTGTGGGATGAGCTGCTCGCTCCTGCAGCCCTCCCTGCCGGGCACCAGCCGCTGGTATCTGGGGGGGTGGGGGTTTCCGTCCACATCCACCAGGAAGGGAGGGGGCATGAGGTGGGGTGCCTGCTGGGTCTGCTCGTCCAGCACGTAATTGTTGGCGTCTCTGATCAGCGGCCGGTAGTCGGTGTGGAAGAACATCTGGTCGGCAATCTGAAGCACGGGAGAATAAACATGGAGCATTCACTCAATAGGATTCTAATGAGTATTAATTATTTCATTTACAATTATGTTAGTAAATCACAGGTGCATGTATGTTTATAAATATGAAATAGGTTTACATTTTAAGCTTTTCTAGTGTAATTTAATTTATTTTAAACCTGGTGAGTTTTCCTCACTTTATGATTTGTGATTATTATCAATTAAAAAAATAATTTCAATGATTATGGTGTGACTTCTTTTAAGAAAGTCCTTACCCAACAACATATTTGTACACATATTAAGCCTTTAACAAATATTCTGCCTCCTTTAATTGGAATAAAACACTAGTCCATATTGCTTTTGCAAACACATTTTGGATCTAGCATCAGTACATGATATACATTCATTATTACCATTTGATTTGATATCCCCCTGCTCCTAATGTATTCTTTATATGAGGCTCACCATCCCCCCCTTGGGCTTTAACAGTGATGCCTAGATTCAACACAATGGGTATAACAGTGTTTTCTTTTATGTATTTATTAGGGCTGTCAGTCGATTAAAATAGTTAATCGCGATTAATCGCAAATTAATCGCACATTTTTTATCTGTTCTAAATGTACCTTAGAGGAATATTTTTCAAGTTTTTAATACTATTATCAACATATGAGTGGACAAATATGCTTTATGCTAATGTTTATTATCATTTGAACAATGACAAATATTCTCATGAATATTAAACACAACAACTTCTGAACATTACAAATATTCGCCTCAATTCATCCTGGAACCTAATACAATAAAAATGGTGTGTGTGTGTGTGTGTGTGTGTGTGTGTGTGTGTGTGTGTGTGTGTGTGTGTGTGTGTGTGTGTGTGTGATGGATCGTTGGAGCTATGTGCAACTCAAGGCTATGCTCGAACGGGAGCTGCCTGGACGCTGCAATCATGTTGCGCACTATCCATGCTGAGTGTGCCCACTGTCTGGCTTCCTGCATAAAGTCAAGTGCTCGGCGCAGTTGTCGGCGAAATGTCGCTCCTCTGTTTTCATTTAAACAGCTCCTTATATCCGTTAGCGCAGCTAGCTAGCACCAGATGCTAACAACAACAATGGTCTCGCTCGCTCGAGCCACACATACACACACCCTCCCGGTCCTCCCAACAGCCAGTCGGTGCCTGCCGGTGAGCGTGGAAGTGTGGTCTGCCACAAGCGGGCGGCAGGAGCGGGGCTGTCAGCATCAGCTTGCAGATGGTATTTTAAACTCGATGCGCTCTGAAACTACGGGGCGGCCGAGGACAAAAAATACACATGCGTTAATCGCATTAAAATAATTAGTGGCGTTAATTTTTTGTTATTAACGCGTTAACTTGACAGCCCTACTTATTATATATTTATTTTCTTTGTCTTGAGAAAACCATGAGAAAAACTATTGCCTGTATTTTTTTATTTCTTTCTCAATTAGTTTTTATTTTGAATGTTTTGTATCTGCTTATTGTTTCTCTGTTCACCTTTTGAAGTTTAGGAGACAGGTTGAAGGGAAAAGACAAAGCGAAAAGTCTGCTGCATTACCTTGTCATATCTGCTACTGGAGCCGAAGCCAAAGATGAGCAGGTGTCCGTGGGAGTCTGTGGCTGCGAAATGTTGCCCATCTGGACTACATTTGCAGTCAAACAGCGCTCCGTGGCCTTGGCCCTCGATCTACACACAGAGGGGGGGGAGAGATAGGGAGATAGGGAAATGGAGGTACACGGTAAATCATAGTAGGATTTTCAAGGGGAATTCCAAGCAACCTTAACAATGGTAAAAACTGGACACATTTGACTCAACATGTCAGTAATGTCAAAGCAGCGCCTGCAGAAACTGAAACTTCCTCAACATAAAAGAAAACTGGGGCCTTTAGTTTGTGCCGTAGGTACTTCTTCACTCTTATAAAAGCTTCATTCAATCACAGAAAGAGATCGTTTTATAAGAATGAGCATCTTTTTCCCCTTTTCAATCAAAAAGGAAGTACTGATCTGAAACAACTTGTAATAATTTTGCTGCAGACTGAGCAGTGAGAGTTGGTTTCAACACATCGTCATGTTTGTTACATGATGCAGTGAGAGGCAACTCGGCTTGAACTGGCTTCAATGCTCGGCTCCATTTACCAGTTTTTGCCCAAATATCATATTGAGTGTTGTGTGTACTGTGTAGGTTTTAAATGTTAAAATCAAATAAAAAATACTTTCATTAATGGTCAAAGTCCATATTTTTAAAAATGGATGAATTCTCCTTGCATACTTTATTTACTCTTTGGGCACATGGGACTACTTTCTTTTCCTTTAGCGGCCAAAGACAAAATATAGTACGACAAGAACAGAGGTGGGAAGTAACATAGTACATTTGCTCTAGAACTGTACAATTTTGAGGTACTTGTACTTTACTTGAGTATTTCCATGTTATGCTACTTTGTACTTCTACTTCACTACAATTCAGAGGTACATGGTGTACTTTTACTCCACTACATGTATTTAATACCTTTAGTTACTTTACAGATCTGGATTAATGATGAAATATAATCAATTCTTAAATCAGACTTTAGTTCCACCTGGAGTAAATCCACAAGCTACTCTGCAGTATACAAAGTCATTCAAACTAGCTGCACCTTTACCAGCTTTGAGAACACTTTCATGATCAATCATTATAAGAATAATTCTTCTTTAAAGTGGACCTATTATGCTATATTTGAAAAATATATTGTAGGGCCATGCCTATACAAAACATGTCTGTGAAGTTTTTTTCTTCAAAATACCAAACAGATCACCCATTGTAGCCATACCTCATACTGCTCATACCCCTGTTTTGAAGCCCTGTTAGAGAAACACAGAATTTGGGTCCTTAGCTTGAAAAAATAAAAGAAGAGGAGGCGGAGCTAATGCCTGATCAGAATTCTACCGGAGATAAAGTTAAATTCTGCTGTGATACAACGCCATCCTGTTTAAACCACGTCAAGGATTATTTCTGAAACAGTATGGAGCTCAAATGTTTTTTCTCTTGCAGGTTTATCACAAGGTGAGTTCTTTTTTTATTTCCTGCTTTTTAAACATGTGCTCTACAGTACAGGTTAGCTCTGAGTGTTAGCGAGGCTTGCTAATGTAAACAAAGACGAGATTACGTCCAAAACACGTCAGGCATTGTTTCTGATAGCAACTTTCTGTGGGTCCGCTGCCGATTTGACGTCAGTTCGGATTGGAAATCTGTATCCGCCCGTTTTTAAAAGATTTGGGTAAGGAGGAAAAGAGAGAGGGTTTTATTTTCTGACGCTGCGTGAGTTCTCCGACACACCGGGGACACATATGTACGTATAAAAGACATCACAAAGTGTATTTTGCATGATAGGTCCCCTTTAACTTAAGTACAATAACTGAGTACTTCTCCCACCTCTGGATAAGAAAGAGTATTACCCATTTTGAACATTTCTGGAAAGATGTGCCGAGCGAACACTTCCACAGTAGGGAAATTAGATATTTCAGTTGCAAGACTTTGTTACTTTTAAGAGAAAAAGAGCACATTCTTCCAAGGGCTGCTCAATTAAAATCGTATTTTAATCGTGATTACGATTATGGCTTGCAACGATTACGAAAACAACGTAATCGAAATAAAACGATTATTTTTTTATTATTATTATTACTTTTTTTAAATGTATTTCTTTTTTGTATGTTTATATGTTTTTCAGTTGAATTATACTTAAAGTTCAGGGTAATCAACTGTTCAAAACATACTGTTAAAAAAAAATGTCTCGAATAATTGGATGTTTTCAAAGTCAATGAATAATCGCATTTAATAATCGCAATTACAATTATTGACCCAAATAATCGAGATTATGATTTTTGCCATAATCGAGCAGCCCTAATTCTTCCTCATGTAAATGAAAACTAATTAAAGTCAATTAAATAAACTCAACGGACGTTGTGCTGTATCTCATGGTGGCTAATTTTAGAGTCGGGTAGTTAACTCTTATGATTCCTTTCTACCTGTGCTGCTCTTACAATACTGTACATTAACACTACATGTATTGATATTTATCTTTCACCCTAATCCTATAATAGTCCCTTATGGTCCTCAACAGGGGCCGCTATATAGCAAACGTTTCATTATTAGTTTTAAATGTGTGCCATTTCCCATTACACTTTGTGTCATCAAACAACACAATCCACTATGATCAACACCAAGATTTGGCCGACTAAACAGCACACAGAGTGAGTCACTTGTTCCCGGACTGTGATTAATACCTCACTTGGTAACCATACACAGGAAATACAGCAGTGTCTGCAATGATTAAACCCCTAGGTGAATATGTACACTGTGCTTCAGTGTGGTGTCAAGATTTAGCTCTACCCTGCCTGCACTCATGCCACACACAGTGTATTCAATGGAAGAGGAAATGCCAGCGTGGAAGTGAGAGAGGTACGAAAGCTAAGAGAAGAGAAAGTGAAAGCAATGATGGAGGGGGGTAACAGTGAGAGGGAAATAATGAGAGAAAGAAAAGGAGGTAAAGACTTATTTTGAAAGCTTATCCGTCTATGTTTTTGCTGACTGCATTAGAAAACCTCTGTTTCACATGTGAGGAGGACCAAATCAGGATGTAGTGACTTTAGTGTGAATTCAGTCAGAGATAACGCAGAGAGTGAGAGGCAATGAGACACACAGGGTGGCAGAGGGTCTCACCATGTTGAAATAAGAGCGGATCTTCACTCCTCTGGCCAGGTCCCACACAATGCAGTTCCCATCATGCCCCGCTGAGAACAGGATCCTGGGATCAAAGGGGTGTGGCTCCAGGACAAACACCTCATCCTCATGACCCTGTCATTAAAAAACATCTTGATTAAGAGTCACGAACAGCCTCAGTGTTTTTTCTCAAATCTTGTGGTTTTGTGCATTTTTACCTAGTTATAAATCAGGCATCCTTTATGTCTCTTAAAGCACATTACTGTTTTTGCTATTCATATTCTGTTTTTAGTAGTGACCCCATTTCTTTTTTTATGTCTGGTTTTAAACACATTGTGATAGATGATGTGTCTGAAGTAAGAACAAGTCAAGTGTAAGTTACACTGACAAAGAACCATTACAATTACATTTGTCATTTCTATTCAAACTTATAGATTTTAGAATTCTCTATAAAAAGATTTAAAGGCCCAGGGTGATAAAATATATATTTGTTCAGTTCAAGAAAAGACAATATTTTCCTAATTCATGTTGAATTCATGTTTAAGGCTTTTAAATAAGGCCTTATTTTCAATGTTAATGTAATTATTGGTTGGTAAGGAACTCTTATTTCCCATCTATTTCTATTGTTTATGTTCCGAGTAAGGTGAAAGCAAAATGACAGGAACAAATACACACAAAAATGTAAATGCTGTATTACTTTTGTATTGCATTGTTCTATATGTTACATGCTCTGTGTTGGCAGGTGCATGTGCTGAATCACCACATACCATGAGTACGTGCACGAGGCTCCCGGTGGTGGAGTTCCACACCTTCAGTGTCAGGTTGTTAGCTGCTGTGATCACGGTGCCGTCATGGCGATCCCATGCTACCATGGTAACCTTCAGCTTGGTCACTTTGTCTTCCAGCGGAGGAGGGTTGTACTTCCTGAAGAGAGGATGTGATACACGGATGTCATGTTTGATGTCAAGTGTTTTACTTTATAACTAAAATAAATACATAAAGGCGCAACTACACAACATATTTTGAAATGGTTGAAATGTTATAAAAATCAAGAAACAATTCCTCAAAAGTCCATTCCTGCTAATAAAGTCATATTTTATCTTCAGTCCATTTCTTTTCCTAAATGAATGTTTAAGCTCCTTGTTCACAACATGTGCTGTTTCTGTTTGAATAGCGCATCAAGAACATTATAACATTTATTTGTAACCTAAATATTTAAGTCCATTCAACTCTCTCCCAGTGTGTTTTTCTTTTCATGATATCCAAGCTTCAATGCCATTATTATAAATATATATTAAAACAATTTTTAAGATAACCAGGTTATCTCTGAATCTGCAATTATTGCTGTTTGTTGTGTTAATCCAGACTCTAAGTACTTAAATAGCTCATCAGTGTCACCTCCATTAATTCACTTATGCGTGCTATAAATCAATATTCTGCCTGGAAGCAGTAATCAATCATTTTGACACATTAATGCAACAGGTGTGAAAGTGTTATTTTTTTCAACTTCATTATTTATATCATATAGATTGTGTTAAAAAATATTGCAAGAAAAGCATTTTGCAGCTGGTAAAAAGGACAATAAATAAATGTTTTTACTTCCTAATGGTGCATAGTCTACAATGGGAGTATTCACACTCAATATGTCTGGGACTTGGGAGTATGCAGCATGATTGATTTTTGTCAAATTCAGAGTGACATCCCAACCCACGACTCTGAGCTGTGAGTACAGCAGTGCTGGTAAAAAGAAGAAGAAAAAAAGCCAGACTTTGACAGCTGAGCACACACAATCATACCCGGGTAATTTGGTCTGCATGTCCAGCAGAATGCTCCTCCACCCCTGAGGATGCAGCTGCCAGATCCGCGCTGTACCGTCCCTGCTGCCGCTCACAAACCTACCCCACACACACACACACACACACACACACACACACACACACACACACACACACACACACACACACACACACACACACACACACACACACACACACACACACACACACACACACACACACACACACACACACACACACACACACACACACACACACACACACACACACACACACACACACACACACACACACACACACACACACACACACACACACAGAGATTCATGAACTGTAAATAAAACACCTCTATAGAAGCGCTTTGCAACACAATAAGCGCTTTTATCTATCTGCATGTACTAGTTGTCCCCCCCCCCCCGTTTCTTCTACGTCTCCTCCACCCCTCCTTCTCTGCTTAGGCACTCCTTCGCTGCTGAGATTACAGCAACCCAGGGGAATTAGCTGAGCTTGTTTTTCTGCAAACTCCACACAGGCACAGGCAATTTAACACGCATGATATGTGCAAGTGTATGAGTGTGTGTGTGTGTGTGTGGGGGGGGGGGGGGGGAGTGTAATAAAGTGTGTATCAGAGAGTAAGTAAAGGTGGTGTTTCTGCTGACGGCACCATTCACATAACAACACCCCCAGGTTCCATATCCACAAACAGCGGAGCACACACAAAAATTGACTTCACTTATTATGTGGCTAATACACACACGCACACACACACACACACGCACACACACAGTTTGAACCTACCTGTCACTGCAATGTGAGAACTGGATGCTGTCGACTTTGTCCTGGGTAAGGAAAATATAGGAGTCAAAACAACGCAATAAGCAACCAGCATCTGCTAGGTTTGCAAATCATGACAACTTCTTTGTGTATTACTAGCTATATCATAGACATCAATACTAAAGTAAAACTATTGGTGCTAAGATTTATTTTAATAAAAGAACATTTTTAAATAGACAATACAACTAAATATGTCCTATGCCTTTGCAATACGTTTGGTGATCCTTTCCATCCCTATGTACAGTATAACCTAATGGATCATTTCTTTCATTCAAAGATGTTCTTCAACTCAAAGTCATCTTACTAGCTCTCTCCAGAGCTTTCAACTGCATCTTACCACCTTCTTCAGTTGATGGAGTTTGCTTAGCTGTCATGGAGAATGATGAAACACACTCTCAAAGACAACCGAGGAAACTCCATCTGCTGAAGAAGTCCATGAAATACTGGGATAAAAGCAAGTAAGTGGGCCTTGAGTTATTTATATTATAACTACTATTCCCAAGTTGGACTATAACCATGTTAATTGTCAATATCTAAGCACTGTGACATACTGTATAGTTAATAAAACACATTTTAATCAATACAAAGCATTATGTTGACTTACAGTATGGGACTCAAGTTCAGAGATCTTCTCTGGTTGGCCTAAGCCAAAGTAGTACACTCTAATGATGTGATCCGTGCTTCCTGTGGCCAGGAACATACCACCTGCACAAACAACATAACGGGTCAGAATTAACAACACTCAATACCCGATACTTCCATTAAAACAATTATAATATACACTTCAAAGATCAAGCTATGGTGAAACAAACGCTTATTCTTGTATTAGTGAGGGCAAACTTTGTGCAAAAAGAAACGTTGAAGTCATTCATCATTCATGGTCAATTTAACCTCAATAAGCAGAGTCATTCCACATCTATGGAAAAGCAGAAGGCCCATTTGTGTGTGGCTGTGTTGCTCTTCAGCTATTCTGCACATTTTTTCAGCTGCTGTTTGCCTTTAGGTGGTCTCAAAGCATGCATGAAAATCAAAAGTGGTTGCCGCCCACCTGCACTGAATGAGGAGCAGATCATCTGGACGCCAGGCCTGGAACGCTCCGTGAATTTACTGGGCCTCTGACTGCACACACACACACACACACACACACACACACACACACACACACACACACACACACACACACACACACACACACACACACACACACACACACACACACACACACACACACACACACACACACACACACACACACACACACACACACACAAAATGAAATGGAATGAAAAGAGTTTGTATGATTTCAGTAGAACATGTTTTACAGGTGGGTATGTCAGCAGATGTTCGCTTCCTTCTTATGTTATCTTTTACATAACTATATTTCATTTTCGGGATAACAAAAAAATCCCATTTAACTAGTATTTTCATCATTTGTGTTTCTCACCAAAACTTCAGCGTGCGTGCATCCCACTGCCAGAAGCAGATGGTGCCGTCAGCTCCAGTGGAGGAGAGGTAGCGCTTTGAGCCGCAGCAGAGAGGGGAAAACTGCAAAGACAACCACTTAGGGGTTACAACTGAGTGTAATGAGCAGTCAACAGGAGATGCTAACACTGCAGCCAAAAAAAGAAAGGATAATTAACCCACAACTGTGTCGGGAGAGGAGAGCGATTAGCATACAACCTTAAAACACATAGCTACACAGATACATAGAATATCAAAGCAAAACTAAAAGCTCAATAGCAAATATTAAATTGATAGTAATCTTAGAAACAAATGAAGCTAATATTTATGTATTATTTGTATGATTCATGTTTTCAGCAGGAACAAAGAGCATGAGGCTCTATGCCAAGGACAGAGCAGGGAAAGTGAAAACAAACAACATTAAATAACACCTGCATCATCCATAAACAATTGGAGCCATTATGCACGTTCCTGTTTGTAAATGTGGATAATAGTCTGTCATCTTTTGCCCACACGTTCGAGTGTTCTCTTTATATAACACTCATTATCAGGTTCATACTGTATTTGAATGTTGAGCCTCTCCTGGGACATGTCTCCAGGCTTTAATGTTCAAAAGCTCTTTATTTTTCTCATACTGCCTGTGCTGCAGCACCTCTTTCCACCCTCTGTCTGAAACCAGAGCCCAGTCTGCTCTGATTGGTTAGCTGGCCGGCTCTGTTGTGATTGGTCAACCGCTTAGAGATGTCCCGCCACTTAGTCTGTCACATACAATGTGTTGGAGCGCTAGCCAATAGAAGCTTGAGTGTTACACAGTGATGTCATTATGTCACTGAAGTAAACAAAGGAATCCAATGGAGGCGTTTCAGTCGGGGGGGGAGAGTGTGAGTACACAGGGATTATAGCCTTTGCAAACCATTTACATGCACAAAAACCTATATAACACACTACAGAAAAGGGATAACCCTAACAATCATAACAGGCAGGGGTGCACATAACTGGTACAGAGATCTGAATTGCGTAATGTCACTTGTGTCACTACCCGCCTTTGCGGACCTCACAACAAAACATATATTTCGTCTACACGTGTTTCTTGTCAACACTCAATGGAGTAAAAAAACAACAAAGACATTAAGCAGCTACGTTGCCGTTTCGCTCCCTGCAAAAACTCTTCGGACTTTCTATGACTGACTGAACTGGAGCTGGGCGAGCCGCCTCCATACCCGACGGACCTGTGAAGCTTACAGGAGGCAGAGGCTTAGATCACCGGACGACAGAGTTGTTCACCGTGTGCACAGACGGGGTTAACGTCGGTATGAACAACTGAATTGTGCCAAAACACATGCTGCGCCCCGCTCACACACACACTGGAGAACTGCGCAAAATCAGCTGATCACAACGTGCACAGTAAAACACACAGTTGCAAACTTCCTCAGGGTGTTATGGAAGAGTTTGAAAAAAGACAGAGGTGGAAGAAGTACTCAGATCTTGTGTAGGAATACTCTGTTACAGTACAAATCCTGCACTCAAAATTTGACTCAAGTAAAATTAGAAAAGTATTATCAAAATATAGTTAAAGTACCAAAAGTAAAAGTAGTCATTGTGCAGATTGGTCCATTTCAGAATAATATATATGATGTGTTTTATAATGATTGATCATGAAAGTGTTCTCAAAGCTGGTGAAGGTGCAGCTAGTTTTTTTTGTATTGACATTTGGCAGCAAACAATTACACATTGTTTTTTCAAGACATAGTAATTGTACATTTGAAGTTTGTCTGTCCGAAATGCCTTTTTCTTTTTTTTACACAAAGATAAAATAAAGACAGTAAAAAGTACGAACAATACGAACAGTAGGGAGCGATCAGGAATTCACAGTAAAATCATACGTTTGTAAAAAATAAAATCTGGCCTATGAGGTTTTATGAAATCAGTCCAGTTTCTCCATCGTGACACAAATAGTTCCAGTTTGTGATTGACAGATGATGTTATCCTCTCCATTTTGTAAATGTCCATTGTAATATCCATCCATGCGTTTAAAGTTGGGCTATCTGGTGATAACCACTTCTTTGTAAGAACTTTTTTACTCGCCACCAGCAACAGATTTAATACATATTTGTCTTTTTTAGTCCATTCTTGAGGTATGAGTCCAAAGAACAAAGTCTTACTCTCCATGGGCACATGACATTTGAAAATATCTTGTAAGGCTTTATGTATGTCTCTCCAAAAGACCTCAATAACAGGGCAGGCCCAGAAAACGTGACAATGATTTGCATTTGAATTTCCACATGTTCTCCAGCAGTCTGGGGAGTTAGCACCGAGACTTCTGAGTGTTATCAAATATCTTATCAGGCTTTTCCAACCAAACTCCCTCCAGTTATGTGAACTGGTACATTTCCACTGACATTTCCATATTGTTGTCCTTTCCTCCTCAGATATGATAACCCCTCCTTCCTTCTTGGATTTCACATATATGGTTGAGTGTATTTTAAGATTCAACAGCCCTTTTTACATACATGAAATAACTTTGCTATCTGTTTTTGAATCGTATGATTTTTTTTAAATAGTTCTATCACACCTGTACTTGACTCTGTTTGAACCTTTGTTGGTGCAGCTAGTTTGAATGACTCTGTATACTGCAGGGTAGCTTGTGGATTTACTCCAGGTGGAACTAAAGTCTGATTTAAGACTTGATTAGATTTCACATCATTCATCCACATCTGTAAAGTAACTAAAGGTATTAAAATACATGTAGTGGAGTAAAAGTACACCATGTACCTCTGAACTGTAGTGGAGTAGAAGTACAAAGTAGCATCAAAGTCAAGTAAAGTACAAATATCTCAAAATTGTACTTAGTAACTTCCCACATCTGAAATCAGATATGACTTCAAGTCATGTGATCGTTTCTTAGTATTTGATCCTTCAACTTGGCCTCAGGAAATGCAAGGACTTCACAGTTTTGGCAACAAGTTTTGGAGAAAGCAAATCGGAGGCTTAAAAAGAGACAGGGATGTGCATCTTCATCATCGTCATCATCTAGCATGCAAGAAGTGTAAATAGAGGACAGTGAAGGAGACAGTGAGGAGGACCATGCTTTGTGTGGGGTGAGTACCAAACGCTGTCTCCTGGTAACTCACTAAAAGAGTGACGTGCACCCCTGATAATACGGCTGTTTTACATTTCAAACTAACTGCAGTAGAATTTCAGTTTGTCATGATCTAAATATTGTTTTAGTGGCTTTTCTCGCTGCAGGCATAATTCCTAGAATAACAACAGCGACAGACAGACATAAATGGTGGCAGGAATACAAAAATATTATAAGTGGCTTTTAAATTCTCTTTTCAGCTAAATAACTACACACGCACAAACATGAAGTGCTGAGTGTCCTCGTACCTGCAGAGAGGTGATGGAGGCTGCATGTCCCTCCAGGACGGCTAGAGGGGCGCAGGTCTGTAAGCACCACACCCTGATGGTCTTGTCACATGACCCGGCAGCGATCATGGTGTTCTCGTAGCTCACAGCCATGTCTGAGATCTCAGCGGCGTGTCCGCGCAACGTGGCCAGCAGACGCCCGTCATCTGTTCCCCAGATCTTCACCAGGCAGTCGTCTGAGCCCTGAGGAAGAGAAGAAGGCAATCAGACTCCAGTGAGGACTAGTATTTTAGTTTGAGAAGTGGCGTGTCTGCCTCGGATTCACTTCTAGTAAGACTAATTGTCTCTAACATGACTAACATGTCAAGTTTTTAAATACTTTAAATACATCTGGGCACGCTGCAGGCTTCAGACTGTCAGCAGACTGACACACGTGGAATGCAAACAGAAGAGGGAATGAGGGGCTTCAGAAAAAAGAGGTGATTAATCTTCCGTGAGTTAACAAGTGACAACGAACAGTTATAGGCACATGATTGTCAGCAGCTCAACTTCTGTCTGTGTATTTCCATCCACTTCTAATTTGAGTATTTAAGATATGGTAGACATCGCCAAATGAGCATGTTACTGTGGTGATATTTGGGTCGGATATAGTTTAGTTACCTATAAAGGATATTTGTTGTTGTTGCCTAAACACTTGTATTGATTTTCAATTATTTATTTTCCTTAATAATGTAGCTGTTCTTAATGCAATCCAGGAAATGTAAATGTAACCCTGGTTGGGTTGTTAGGATCAAATAAGCCAATGTTTACATTTTCCCAAACCAATCTTATAATGTATTGTGAAATCAAGGAAATATCAATAAAAGTAGTTTCTATTTTTGCAAATGAACTCTTCATATTTTTAATTAATGGAAAATAATAAATACATTACCTTTAGTAATGCAAGAACAATTACAGAACGCAATTACAGTGCAAGTACAATAAGTTCCAAAATCCTTTTTGTTATTTTATTTTTTAAACTACACCGTGTTCATTATTGAACACATCATGTAAATGTGCTTTATTTATGAAATCAGGTCTCTGCAATCATGCAAATGTTTCCTCACACTCTCCTTTGCATTTGGGTATTCACAATAATGTGGTCACAGTGTGCCGGTAGGCATAATTAATGACATCCAACTTGCTATTTACAGACAAGTAACAGGTCAAAGAAACACATTGATTCAGATAGCTCAACTTGTATTTTAAAGGGGCCATCTTTTTGATCTTTTTCAGCTTGTCATTTGTATGTTGTGCCTCTACTGTGACATGTCTTCATGCTTTAATGTTCAAAAAGGTCTTTATTTTCCTCATACTGCCTGTACTGCAGCACCTCTTTTCACCCTCTGTCTGAAACCAGAGCCTAATCTGCTCTGATTGGTTAGCTGGCCGGCTCTGTTGTGATTGGTCAACTCCAAGTACAATCGCGGCATTTCTGGGGCGGGGGTAACTCCCTCTGGAGGGAACTTAAGGATCATAGCCTTTGCAAACCATTCAGATGCACAAACACATATCTGAAACACTATAGGGAATTAAGACCCAGAAATGTACAATAGGGCCTCTTTAATATTATACACTGTGGGATAGGCGTGTCTCTCTGTGTGTTCTAGCAGTAAGTAGAAGTGCACCAGTAAAGTCCTCTCAGTAATATATTTATTGTCAGTATTAAATTAAGTGGAAGAAAGCTAAGAGAGGTACAATTTCTTCGAAAAAAAAGGCAATAATTATAAATAATCCATCATCCATAAAGTCAAGTGTATAATACATCTGGTAGCATAGAGGCAGCTTCTAGCACAGCCTTTAGTCTGGATTGAAAAAGCATGACCCTTAATGAAGACATTGATACAGCCTATAGGGACTGTAATCCAGATTGTAAGGGGTTAAAGAGATTGTGATTCAACATGGAGCCAGAGCCATCTGTGCCTTGATTAGGAACCAGTGTACCAGTGTACCAGTGTAACCAGGTGTATAAAGCACAGTGTGACCATACGTTATATCTTTATTTTTGAAAAAGATTAGTGGCTGGCAATAAATAAGAAACGTGTAAGGAAAGTGTTATAAATAGAACATTTTAAAAGTGTGATGGCACATTTTCTTAACTGAATGATCAAATATGCATTTCAGACGGAATGGTGTGATCACATTGAGTGAGTTAGAGAACATGCCAACACTTCCTTTTATATCTTCAGAGCTTTTGTTTCTACAATAACAGCAGCGGAATGGATCTTTTGGAGAAAATGTTAGATGAAAACTCCAACCCCCTTCTTTGAATAAATCATAATCAGCAGAGTCGGACTGAAGCTGTTATTTTATGTGATCAAAACAGGGAACACTCCCGTAGCGAGTTAGAAAAAAGATCTCAAGGACGAATTACGCCAAGACGGACGAAAACCAGATCTGCCCAGGCCTGAATGCAGCAGCGTCAGAAAAAGACTTTCCTTGTTGCTGTAGATGTGAAGTTACGCTAGTATGAACAAAGCATATTAGCTGCTCCAATTTGTCCTTCCCAATGTCTGTGATAATGAGCTTGCAGCCATTTCTAAAACGATATTACACAAATCAATGTGGCCAATCGATGGTTAGCTAAACCTTTATTTGCTTATGCATTGATCGAGAAATCGTCACAGTAAATGTTTACACTGGATATCAATCAATGTGTGTTCCGCTGCAGCACGGTGGAGAGGAAAAATACTTCCAGAAATAAGAAAAGACATAAATAAAAATGATCTTGTGATGGAAGGAGACAGTGAGAGAGAAAAGGGAAAGGGGAAAAGTGAGAGAAACCAAGAGTGAATTTTAATTCTGGCACTTAGCCAACGCCTCAGAGGAAATATTTTCTCCAGTTATGATGAGAAATGGCAAGACGAGGGAGGGAGAGAGGAACAAAGGAGGGGCAGCGCAGGATGAGGGACGGGGGAGAGAAATAGAGAGAGTGTAAGAAAGAGAGATAACAGGAAAACAGAGACATATCTACCCCCCCCCCCTCCTCCACTCCGCTCCCTTCGTCTCACTGTCAGCAGCCAGCCATTTTTAGAGATGTAAGAAGAAATGGTGTACAGCAGCAGGCAGTGTTTGACTCAAGGATCCAAACAGAAAGCAACATTAAACCTACATTATCTCATTGTTCCTTCAATATCTAACATTCTGCTGTAGCGCTAAACCGACCACATGGAAATAAAGAACACAGCACAAGGATACTAGGGGCACCGAGAGGGCAAAGGTCAACTTCCTCCTTTAAAGACTCCACAGGTTTTGTTTTGTGATTTTTCTTCCATTCAGGGTGAATTCGGCTAAAGCTGTGAGTCATTTGGTAAAAGCGTCCCACGGCTGTAAGGTAAACAGTAATTACCTCCTACCAGAACTGTAACAACAGCGAAAACACAGAGCCTTTGTCATACTGGTGACAAAACACAGCTTGTAACACTCATACATACAGCATGAGGGGACAGAACGACCACTAGCGCACATTAAAGTAACCGATCATTTAGAGCTCTTCAAAATGCACCAGGGCTGCACAGTTCATCTCAAAATGGCAAACTTGATTGATGCAATATCCACAACGCAGGAAGTGAAGTGTTTGTTAAATGAGGGCCTATAAAAGATATTTTACAGACTTAACTAAATATCCCTGTTTGGTACAATTACAATATGATCATTGACATTATTAATGATGCGAGTAATGTTTAAAAAATGATTATTCCCTCCAACATAAAGCAAGATATATTGATTTAAACGTGTATCCACACTGGTAGCAGGATGTGTCAAAATGTAGGTATTTTTCATGATGAAAAATGATTTTGAAATCTCATCCACAAACTCAGATTACTATGCAGAAACAGATCCAGCCGCCCTTTGAATTGTAAGAAAATGATAGTTGAGAAAGTATTTTGAACAGTCTCTGCTGATTTGAACCCCTCAACTCTCAGATTAAAACAGAGATCGCTTATGACACTCGCCATTGTGTTCTTTATTCTTTTATAGGTCATAAAATACCGGCAACAGAGAGACATACAAATCTAAAATCAAGTTGATCTGCAAATAAATCCAAAATATAGTCTACGGTTGCATTTTTGCATATTTTAAGTTTATTTCTCCACAACTGTCAACCATCACTTTGCCTTTGGGACATTAGTTTTAAAAGAGAAGCAGAGAGTTGTCTTGCGGCTCTATATTGTTTGAGCCAGAGGTTCTTTTTTTTCCATACCGTTCCCTAGGTCAGTGTTTTTCAAAGTGGGGGCCCCGACCCCCCGAGGGGCTGCCAGGGGGCACCAGGGGTGTCACGCAAAGTTTGAGGGAAAAGGGATTTTTTTTTTTTTAAAGTTTACATTTTTTTTTTTTTAGATGTTATTAATAACTGTATATCTATCAATCTATGTGTCCTTTGATGCCAATCTTTTAATATTGAATCACACGACCGCCCTTCAAGCCAATCAGAATCGAGCTGCCGCTACTGAGAGTGAAACTGAGTATCTGCTCAGCTTTTGGAGCAAGTGAGAGCTAGTGAATATTTCGCTCTGCAGCTGGATGAGAGCACGGATGTAGCAAATGTCGCAGAATTGCTTGCATTCATCAGATTTATTTCAGAAGACAACTTTGTTGAGGAAATATTATTTGGCAAAGCACTGGAAGGAACATGAAGAGACATTTTCCAAGTTTTAGATGAGTACATCATCTCAAATGGACTTGACTGGTCTCGTTGTGTGGGTGTGTGTTCAGATGGGGCAGTGGGGCTGTGACAGGCAAAAAAAGCGGAGTGACAGCTTTGATCAGGCAGAAGGCCCCAAATGTAGTGGCAACACACTGCATGCTCCATCGCAAGGCACTTGTACACATCATTTAAAAAAAATGTTTGCAACAGGGGGGTCCCCGCCAGAGGATAATGCTATATGGGGGTCCTTGGTAGGGCTGAACGATTAATCGATTTTAAATCGAAATCGCGATTTTAAATGATGCGATTATCAAATCGCGAAGCCTGCCATTTTTTTTTTACTTTTTATTTTTTTATTTTTACAATTCTTTCTTTTTTTTTTACAATTTCTTTTTCTTTTTTCTTGTGTGTCAGTCATCCACACCAATCAGAAGTGCTGTGCTCCACATGTACCAGCCATTGTTAATCAATCAGAATTGGCCCATGATAGAAGGTGATAGACAGATTGATCCCAAAATCGTGCAGCCCTTGGCATGGCAAAGTTTGGGAACCCCTGCCCTAGGTGAATGCTTGTGTCACCTGATTCCTAATTCATAGTGTTACATCGAGATTGTAATGATACTTGCCAATGCATTCTGTATAACACAGTTGTTGGACCTCTCAGGCACAGAGATGTAAAAATCTGCCTCCATAAATCACACTTCAAATGCTGTGGCTTAATTCTGAACATGGAAAATCTGTTTCAAGTTGAGGTGCAGCAAACAACTGAAACCATCTGCAGCAAAATCTCAAGATCGACACTTTGACTAGCAACAATTAAAGACGATGATGTCAGACCACTAGGGATGGGTATCGTTTGAAATGTATCGATTCCGGTTCTGCTTATCGATTCCGGTTCTTATCGATTCCCCGTTTCGATTCCAAAATTGTAAAAGAAAGAGGTCAAACGTTTAGATAACAAAAATATCTTTATTCTTTTAAGCTTTAACTGAAATTGTTACAAATAAACAATATACATGCAATACAAATGTATTGCACAATAGCTGTGCTTTATTTTAAAGGTGGGGTAGGTAATTTTGGAGAAACCAGCTCGAGTGCGCTAGAATTTGAAAATACACAGCCGGAGAAAATCTACCACTTCCTTCCAGAGCCCCTCCTCCAACACACACAAACGCGCACATGACCAATGAGGGCACGAGATAAGTTTGTGCACAGATGGAAGGCTGACAGGCATGTAGGCCATCCAGTTATTTTAGCCTGGCTGGCTAAAATGATTGGTCGTGCTTTTTACAGTAAAAAGCACGACCACTTCCACTGATGACATTTTTTTATGGATTTTTTGTCAAAGCATTTAATGTATTCATTGCTATCGGGATGATAAGAGCATTCCATGGAATATAACAAAAAGTGTATCTCGAGCCGGTTTCGCAAACTTACCTACCCCACCTTTAACTGAGCTATGCCTGTGGCAAGCTATTAACAGGCATTACACTGTGCCTTGCCTTTTTATTTTTTTGTGTAGTGGCGCCTCACTTCAGAGCGTTTACCACGATCTATCTTTTGTGTTATGAAGTGACTGAGCTCGTGAACTGTCAACTGGAGGGCGGGGGAGCCTCGCTGCGGGGCAACTGTGGACCTCTGTCGCCTGTCAGCGCAACTTACATGATGCCGTTTAAAAAAATTAAGGGCGGTGCCGGCCATCAGCGTACCGAGCCGGCCGTCAACGGCCCACTGACGACCGGCCGTTCTGTGATTCTCCAGGTCCGCCCTGTATTCCACCGGCCGGGTCGCCGCGGTGCAGACGGACCCGCTGGAATACAGGGTCTACCGCGTTTAGGAACCATTGAGCAGAACCGAAAAGGTGTATTTTGTATGGGTACCCGGCATTTTCTTATCGGTTCTCATGTGGAACCGAGTTTCGGTTCCCAACCCTACAGACCACTTCACCTGAGTGTATCTCGACATCATTGCATCATTTACAAGGATGAATAACATGACTTTCAATAGGCTACCATAACACTATAACACACGCTTTACAAGCAGCAAGAGGAAGCCACGCTGAGTTCAACCAAGGCCCCAGGAAGTGAGCCGGGTGTTGAAACAAATGTTCATAGTGGCTAAATGGTGGTACTACAACTTCTGTGACCGTGAGTTCAACTTCCAACACACCATGAACACAACACGCACAGACAGCAGCCTTACCGTGAAGATGCGTCGTCCGGTCCTGTCGAAGGTGACGCAGTAAACGGACGAAAGATGTCCCAGAATCCTCTTGTGCATCTTCATGTGCAGGTACACCACCGTGGGCACTAGCTGCTTAAGTCTGTAGGAGCCGTTCAGTCGACGGCCGAAGTTTGTCTCCACTGAGAAACAGAAATGACACAGACACCAGTGAGGAATGTGCAGGAATACACATTGATTCTGAAGCAAAACATAATATCACCAGTGCTAAATATAACATCAGCTATACTAGTGGTTCTCAAATGGGGGTACGCGGACCCCTAGGGGTACGTTGGAGTACTGCAGGGAGTACGTGAGATTTATTTTATGTTAATGAAAAAAACATAATTAATGCATTTAAACAAACTACTAATAGTAGATGAACTACTTTATTCAAAGGTTTACAGTAATTCTGGATAATAAAATGGGAAAAATAAACGGGGCGATCTCTTTTCCTCTCCCTCTCCTGACAGCCCGTCAGTCTCGTGCAACTCGCTGAACCTGTAATAAGTGACCCGACAGTAAAGAATACATATATGTATAACTAGTTTAGCTAGTTCCAGAGTAGATTTACCAGCGAAGTGTGTTAGGTCTAACTCTTAGTGTATTTTGGGCCGCTCACCGGTCCGTCACAGCGGCGGAGCTGTGATCATGCAGAGCTGCGTGCTCTCCGTCAGCAGCAGCTGATCTGATCTCTGATCTCTCTCTTGTGTCCGGTTAGACTTCACTTGCGTTTTTGTCCAAATCTATCAGATCTAGCTAGTTCTAGCTAATGATATGACTGCCTGCGTATCGAAGGACCTAAACAATAAGCGTTGCTTGGCAACGGCGTGTGGCCGCAAAATATAGCGCAGCATTATGCATATGTTTATATAAGGGGTCAAAATCCCATGCTCATAAAATGCTCATATATTTGTTTCTCTTCATTCCCCACGCCCCAAAATAAATAAATATACCAATTTTAGGAAAAGTATCGAAGTTAGAGCAGTGTGGGTATTATATGAACAGAGTTACACATATTTCAAAACGCGAAGTGTAATAACTGCAGTTTGCCTCGCTGTCACAGAGAATGACAAAGATCCTCAGTGAAGCTCAAGCCCATGTTTCACTACATTGTAAGTACAACTTATTAAAAAGATCAGTTCAATGCAACTAATGTCGTCTTAGTGTTATTGCATGATGTTAAAATTGGTTTGCCATGAATTTAGTGATGGATTATAAACATTTGAAATGTAGCTTACGTTTTTCTCAGTTACAATGTTGTTGTTTTAATAAATCAGACACTGATGGTGCAGTGCTGTACTGTACCTCTTTATATAGGCATTTTGTCCCTAACAAATTGTTTTTGCGCTGATCAGGGGGTACTTGGCGGAATATTTTTTTCAAAGGGGGTACATTATTGAAAAAAGTTTGAGAACCACTGAGCTATAGGACCATGGCAGCTAATAAGATAGTACGGAAGATCTGACTCCTAGACTGAATACTAAAAGCATGACGAAGACTGAAAATTGTGTTTTATTTTGCAAAGTGTTCTCTTTACCAATATTAGGTGGGCTCCCATAGATAATAGGTGGCTCCGGTGGTCTTCCACAGTGCAGAGCAGCCAGCGCAGAGCCCTTCCACACAACATGCTTGCAGCCTGGAGGAGGATGAACACAAAAAGAGATGCATAAAGATATACAGACACATGGTTTCTGCAGGTTTCAACAAATGAAATGGAAGGATTTTGAAGACCATATAAAGTGAAATTGAATTCCCATTATTTTTGGTCGTAATACTGGCACAAGAAGTCCTAGAATTACTTGAAGTAAATTGATTGATTTATCAAATTGGTTATATTATACAATAGTCATATTTAACAGCAATCTAAGTCTAAATCTAGCTACATCTAAGATCTTAAATGAAAGAAGCTGGTAGGGTAGAATGACAGTCACCATGGAGATAAAGAAGCACTTAATGAATGTGCTAAATTAGATTATGATACGAGTTAAACACCTTTATTTTGATTGCGGTTTTGTTCTCCCGCCAAGCAGGACACATTCACTTTGACAACTCTCTTCATTATTTGCAGTTACCATGACATTCAAGTCATATTTAACATTTATTTATTTATTCTAAATTTCAGACAATTTAATGTAAGACTTTTTAATGACACATGAAAACATGTAGACAGTATTTATTATGGATTGTCCATATTGTATTCATCTATTATATTTACATTAGTACAAGGGAACGAAATGTAGTGAAAAGAGGTTTGTTAGTTTGTAAGGACATGCAGAGAGCTGTAGTAGCCCAAGTGTGTGTGTTTGCATATTAAAGTAAATATTTAGAATGTATGCACTCACTCTTGCTGGTGCGGAGGAGATTCTGCCGGCCGGCCCCCAGCAGGCTGGTCAGTCCCGGCACGCTGGCGGGGACCTCGGTCTCCAGGAGAGGACACACTCTGGAACAGACCTGCAGCAGGTGTTCGGGACTGATGTGCCGGTATAGCTTCACCTGCACACACACACACACACACACACACACACACACACACACACACACACACACACACACACACACACACACACACACACACACACACACACACACACACACACACACACACACACACACACACACACACACACACACACACACACACACACACACACACACACACACACACACACACACACACACACACACACACACACACACACACACACACACAGATTGTATTCAGACTGGTAAATGACAAACACCAGTCAGAAAGGTGCAGGGTTGAATAGCACAACTGGAAACTGACTGAAATGTGTTCAATTGTTGCACAAATGTGATTCCAGACATCAAACAAGCTCTCTCAAAAAAGATGAACTATATTAGTACACCAAAAACAAAGGAATAACATAAAAGAAGCAGTTTTCAGTAGTCCTAATAGTCGGACTATATAAAAAAAACACTGGCGAGAAATAAAAAAAGGTTATAATTAGATGTATCAAGCGTCTGCTGGCAAACAGGTTTGTTCTCTGGCTGCAGTGCATTTATTTTCTCTTGAACACACACACCAAAATGTATTATCAGCAAAACAAGGACACGCAGAAAACAAGGTCACTACCCAGAACGCCTTTTGGTTTGCTGAGAAATGTAAGAGTAAATGTGCCCTTTTCAGAAATTAATTACTATTCTCTGGAGGTTTAAAAGCAATAAACTGAGTACGGCTAACAAGCACTACAACAATATTTTATTCAATTATGTTTTCTTTTCAGATTTAAAAAAATTCCATAAACTAAATGAATGCTTGGATTTAGTTAGGATGCTTGTCTTTTAGAAGGATATGTGTGCCGTTCACATGCAATGTAGTGCATCAGCAGGGGAGGGGGGTGTGGCATGCAACACTGCACTGATATAAACACAGTGGGTCTCTGATTGCACATGGCGACTCTCTTGCATGGCCTACGTCTGAAGATACACACGCCTGAGTGACTGGAATAGCAGCGATACACCAGAGGAGTTCATTATGCAGCATGCAGCCGCACTGTGTTTCATTCAGGGTTATTTCAAATGTATCCATTTAAAATGAGCTTTATTTCAGACACATCTCATTTAAATATCTGAACGGGGTCAAATAGGCCTAAAATCATACAATTACACTGACACACACATTTTCTCTCCATTCCTTTATCTGACAGTAACACTTATTATCTGTGGCACACACACCTATACACACACACAATTAATGACCCCTTAATTGCTTTCAACAGCCTTGCAGGTTCAAATACGTGATCAGTATTTCTAAGCACATATCAGCACACTAGCAGGCAAATGCAGCGCTGTTAAACACACACACACACACACACACACACACACACACACACACACACACTGAAAAGATAACAATTTGCTCCATTTTACTTGCTTCTTAATGGTACTGCATAACACTCCCCTTGTCATAACAGCAATACCAGAAAGCACATGGCCCCCTTACACATGACAATCCCCACCTTACATTTGAATACACTGTTCTAAAATCAATAATGTATTCAAAACATAATTATCTTCAACATATGGTTCTCATAACTGAAAAATCCAATCATTGTTGAGATCCACTAGTTATTTGAAGTCAAAATTAAAATGACACATGTGTGTAAATATGGTTACAAATAATTATGGGTGCTATTTTAATTCAAAAATAGCTCAAATGTAATGTTTTCGGGATCAATTCCATATGCACAATTAAATAATCACATGTCTAATTAATCCGCCCTAATTAATTAGATGCAATTAATATCGTTAATTAATACGTTATCAATGAAGCCAACGTTGATTTCTCATTGTTGCCCAATCCCCTTCTGTACAGACCCAGACATATACACCTAACAGCCTCCGATCAAACACATCCAACCGTGATCCCCTTTATAACACCATGTGTATATTCAGTCTAATAATTAAAAAACCATCCGCAGTATGTTTTTGTTTTTTTCTAATAGAAGACAATTATGCACAATAGACAGGAGGCAGGCTGATCGGCAGGGAATGGGAGGAGGGGGGGGGGGGGCAGCAGAGCCAAGCAGGAAGAGAGGGGGAGAAAAAACACATGCAGGCAGAAAGACAGTCAATAATCTCTAAAACGTGTAAATGTACACCCGGGTGAATGTGCACTTCATGCGATATCGTCTCGCATGTCCATGTGTCTGTGTATGAGAGAGAACGAATCGAGAAAATCCAGCAAATTAAATAGGTCATAAGTCAATATTTTTATATTAATATTCAAATCAAACTTCAATTAAATAAAATAGCAAAACAAGTGGGGGTTCACACCTCCAGCACAATGGCGAAGAAATAAATATGTACGCGATGATTAATTCTCTCCACGCCCCCATGCGTAAACGGTGCTTTCAGACGAGCCCTGTTTGTTTACATGACAATTAGCATTTCATTAATAGAGCGATTATAAGGTATCCTCTCATCGTTACCTCTCATCTTCAACATAAACTCATCTCTTCTCCTCCATCCGAGTTTGCAACCACAAAAAAATGCTCTCCAGAAAATGCCTCCACAACAGCCCTGCACAGCAGCCTCCTCTCAACTGGCTCGCTGTAACTCCAGCTTTGCTAAATATACTGTTTATATTCTCCTTCAAAAACTCCAGTTTTCTAACTATTGCCCCCTGTGTGTTTTCAAACCCATGCACACACATTATGCAGGACAAGAGCGCCTCCATCTCTCTCTGGCTTGTGGCGCAGGGAGTCCCTCCTCCGGATCCTGGCGCTCCTACACCACAACACTCATGACGTATCAACATTTCACACACATTTTTCCACAACTATTACAACCTTTTGCACATGCATGGCACCCAACTCGCACACCACGGTGCACAGGAGGCTGGGACCCGAGCCCTTGGTGCCCCACATCGGCCCCAACTTACAGCCAGCTAGCCCTGCAAAGTCCTTTACAGCTTTTTCTTTACCACCTGATTTAAAAATTGCGGGAAATTCAATTTTTATTTTGCTCTCTAAAAACTTTTCCCTCAGTTATAGAGCTCCCTTACCAAATTTCTGTACGTCCCGGGGTGCTCCTGCCCTGTCCAGTCCAGCCTTATGGGTAGCAGCTAAGATGGAAAAATAATGTCGTCGTCATCATTCAGGTTATAAATGTAGCAGGTGATTTTTATAAAGAGTAAATGATAAATCAGAGTGAAAGCAACATGACAAAGTACAGTGCAGAGAGAAGCATCTTTCTCGTAGTGCTGACTGCTTACCTCCTTCTCCTCCACCTCCCTTATCAGGGTCTGCAAATAGGATACAAATACAAAATTACACCCCATGACGATTTCGGACATATTGTAAATTATCCTAAAATGCATAAACACCAACCTCGGCTGCTTTTTGACACGGTCCAGCTTCTAGAAATCGGGCTATTAGGAAGTACAGTTCTGGTATGGTTGGAGGGGGAGAAGAGGACGGGAGCTGCGTTAGAAGAGGGCACCGAGGAAATTGGGGGGATATTACAACAACCATGACACATTTTCCGTTCTCCTTTACTCACCAGAAGTCAACTGCGCGATGTGTGAACTGTCTGAAGCCATTTTGGTGTTGTTTGCCAGGGCAGCGCCAGAGCCTGTGTGCTGGGTCTAGGTGGCTGCCCTGTAGCTGTCACTGTTTATCCACCAGGAAGAGGCTCCATTCAGCTCCGCTCAAACCGAGTCCCGGCTGCGTCGAGTATATCTCCGCCGAGCAACAAATAGTGCGCGCTGAATGGTTTACCCCGCAAAACACCGTCTTCCTCCAGCAAAAAACCCAGCACAGGATATGTTCCAGGGTTGGGAATCCCTCAGCGTGAATTTTAGTGGCAGTTGGTCTGTTGTGCAGGCATGTTTGTTTAAATCCCCCTCCCCCTCAAAAGCAAAAGCGCAAGCCCTCTGCGGAAGAAGACGAGTGGTGTGTTTGTTTCACGCACGCCACTGTAGAGGGGAGGTAGAAATGGCAGCCTGATGTAGGAGAGGACATTGCTGCAGAATGGCTGTGACTTCGTAGCTAGATTACATTTATCACGGTTTAATAATTACATGCCTATATATTCATAGTTTACATTTTGTTGCGTGTTAATACAATGCAACTCCCGGTTCTATTTTTCTGTGTTCGTAGCTGCGGATGTAGAATGTGGCCACCGTGTTTGAGGGGGATTTCACAGCCGACTTCTTTAGTCAGGTTTTATCAAATAATACAGATAGTTGTAGTAATTGTGTGTGTTCTCGTCGACTTCGTGTGTTATCACACTGTCGTTAATGTGTAACAAGATGTCTAGCTAACACACCCACTCTCTGGGAGCCGTTTGGTGGGGAAGTCGTCCATTTCTCTTCCAAATACTGCGAGGCAGTAAAATGGGGGAAGGGTTGGAGAAGAAGGGGGATGCATGCAGCTTAATGAATGAAACCTCGTGAGTTACAGGAATTTAATGGCAATGAGACATTTATGCCTGCTACATAATCAGGGAAGATTGTCAAGGAAATACATCACACAGCAACTTCCTCTATGGTTCACTGCAAGGTTATGATAAAAAGGAACAACACTCAGGTGTTATTTCCTGTTAATAAATAGTATAAGACATTGTACAGTACACCATTATTAATTGTGTTAAGTATGTGTTTTATATATTTATTAAATATGCCCTACCTAAATGCTTTAACAGCAGGTGGCCAAAAGTGCACACGCTCTTCTCTAATTGACATTTACTCTTTTTTTTATTTGAAAACATCAATTAAAGCATACATAATTGAATTACCGAATTCTAACTGCATTCTGTTCAAAATTACCATAGACTCTCTTATAAATTGCAAAACAAAATGTACAGCAATCCAGGGAACCAACTAACTAATTCACAGTGAGAGATATTTACACACCCAAGTGGAACCAGACTATTTAAAAGTGACAAGGAATGTTTTTGCTTATTTGTTCCCCTTATTTTTGTCTTTTCATAGTCTAAACTCTGTTTGGAATTAGGTGATTAAATTGTGTTATCTACCTAAATAAAGAATTATTCAAAGCACTTTTCTCATGTGTTATGTGTATTGTTTTAACTGAATAGCATTATCAACAACAAAAAGAGAGGCATAGCCACTGGTATAGAAACTCATCTCCTATTTATATAACACTTGTCTCACTTAAATCCCTGGCAGACACACCATGGAACAGACAGTCTGTTGCTGGGAAGATGCTGATGATATGGAAACTTGAACAGATGACAAACTAATTCTCTGCCTCTGTTACTTTCTGAAAATGTGTTTTGTTTTTTATATCCAGTTGATACTTTATTTTGGTGCCAAATGTTTTCTTGGTAAGCTTTTTTACGAAACAAGCAAGCAGGAAGCCTATTCTGCCATTTCAGCATCCTATGGTGACCCTCCTATAGGTCAGCTGCGTCTAATGTCATGTCAGGCTGAATTTCTTAACTTACTCCCCTGGATTTGGATAGAGTATAATCACAAGTACAGTTGGCTGTTTTACAGAACTGTTCTCCAGGCCAATGATAATAAAGGAATGGTGATTAATGACTGCTTACTCGCCTCTTGCAAGAAAGGAATTCAGAGGGAAAGTTCAACAGCTGTGAGAGCCAACTCATATTATTTTTTGTTCAAGCAAAGAGAGTAATCATTTAAGAAAATGTTTTTACATTGTGTACGAAATGTTAGACACCCAAAATGTCTAATGAGGATACATCCCCTATTTTAGAGATAGTCATACATAAAAAGAAACAGGACAGAGTGAGATAAGCAAATATTTGAAAAAGCACTACAATTGATAGAAATGCAAATGTTACCTTAAGTTGTTTTTCATTTAAAATGCGTCACAATAAAAGACCTTTTCAGATGTGTTTTTTTTTATTACGATATATAGATGTTGATTGCATTGATGGAAGTAGAGTTGTATATTTATTAAAGGGAAGTCCGACAATATATAAGATATAAGTCTTGAGTATAGAATATAGTCCTGTGGAGTGAATGTCTGAAGAAGACTTGAAAAAGTTCTGCAGAATTCTAGGAAAGTCAAGAGCTAGGTCTACATATTTATGAAAGTCTTTTAAATCTTCGTATTAAAACATTATAGCAGGATATCTTTTTTTCTGACAAGTAGATGAGAAGAATGATTGAGCAAAGCAATACTCAAAAATGTATTCAGGATCTTATTAAGATAGGAACATGTGATCCCTAATGCATTATTTCAGAACATAATACCAGGATAAATCAATAATCTGTAATAAACATGTAAAATACAAGACATGAACAAACTCTAATTTGAATACCATTTTTAATTTTTTTTACAGACATATTCAATAATAAATGTCCATGTTAATTTTTCGTCAATTACGACACCAATGAGTTCAATGTGTGAAATATTTTACATTTTTCTTGGTTAAAAAATGTCATATTTGCTCCTTGAATTAGTGTGCTAAAAAGTTCACGTTAAAGTGCAACACATGGCATCAGTAAAACAAATAAGTGGAATTTGATTTTAAGTGTCAACCACCTTAAGAATGGTTTATTTAACCACTAAACTAGACCACCCTGCAATCTGTACTTGACAGCCCTCAGGGCATGTTAAAGCACAAAGGCATGGAGTCTGCCTTTGTCAGTCACTTTATGTCACCTGTCATCCGGACCCCTCAGGTGTTGTTGTTGTTGTTGTGCTGGCTGCAGTGGCCACAAGGAGGCAACCTCACTCTGCAGCACCTGTCTGCACAGCGGGCCACAGAGGAGGAACAATGAGGAAATGTGATCATTTACAATTTCCTGTAACTAAGAACATTTTACTGATCATAAGTGACCAGACTTCTTCAACCCTTTTCACTTATTTCCTAATTTTGAACCAAAAAATTCTCCTTATACTATAACAAGCAGGGCCGCCCCTGGCCAACTTGGGGCCCCAAGCGACATTGTGAGATGAGCCCCCCCCCCCCCCCAACCGACAGGAGTGAAAACATTTTTTTTGGAAACAAAGTAGGCTACTTTGCAAATATAATTCCTGTTTATTATTATTATCAACACAGTTACTTTTGTATACAGTGAGGTAAATGGTAAATGTGCATGTATGTCGTTCAGTATGCGTTTACAGGTGAATACGTCTGCATTTCCTGCCAAATACTAGCCTCAAAAAGATTAAAATATAATTAATGCAAATAAACTACTTCTACTAATAATAATAATAATCATAATCAATTCAATAATATAAATACTATATTATTTTATTATAATGTTGTATTATAGTCAAGACAAAACATGCTTATATGACATGCTCAAAAACTGATATTTCTTAAATCTGTATTCAAATGTAGTTCCCTCTGTCAGCAATGTATCAACAACTACACACACATTTCTATCAGTACAGTATTTCTCTGTGTTGTGGTTGATATGATGATGACTGTTAGGAGTTAAGGGGAGAGGCTGAGCATCACCATGAAATGTGCAAATTGACATAAAAATGAATAAAAGGGGAACAAATGCTCCATGTGTTTTAGGCTGTAAACTTTAACTGTTATGTAAGCCAACTAGACAGACAGTTTATCACTCTTCCTCCTGTACATTAGTAGATAAAAGGCATAACATACTTGAATGAATGATAAATAAAGAATGCTGGAAATAACTGCATCTCCATTAGCCTATATGCTATGCAGAGACTGTCTTCTTCATGTCGTGAATTGCAGCTGATGTTTTAATATGGCAATTGGCAATTTGACTTATACAACATTCACAAGTTGTACATTTGACTCATACAATAACCCACCTTCGAGTGATGCTCTAGTTTCTTCATGTTTTGTTTTTTTCCCTCTTGCTTGCGCCGGACTGAAACTGTCTTCTTCTATGAAATTCCATGAGCTTTAATGGTGGGATTACTGTGGTATCACACCACTCAGACACCGCCTGCCCAGCACTACATGTAGATGTTGTGTTAGAATTGTTAAAAAAATTTGTAAGGGTTTAGAATTATTTTAAATAATGGTTCAGTTTATCATTCATGATAAAACCATACCCTCTCTAGGTTTTATGAACCAGTCACTTCTGTGATCCTCAGCTTCACTGGAGGGACTTCAGCTTTTTCTTCCATCATTTAAATTGAAATTAACCTTAACCTGTTAAGCCCCAAGGTCCCCCTCGGCGGGTACTTTTTTTTTTTTTTTTTTCACGACACTGTGTCTCAGGGGATCTTAATATTTAAGAACCTATTAATGTGTTATACCAGATTAACGGGAATAATCTCAGTTAACTGAAACAATTTTTACCAAAACAAAACACAAGTCTCATAAGAAGCATCTAAATTACCCCTGAGCGAAAAATGCTAACGCACTTTGGCACAGAACTCAAGATAAAAGATACCCTTATTACTTATCGTAGCTGCACATACAAGATATCCGATTAAAGCTGAGGTTCCACAGATTATTTAGGTATAGTATCATCACAGAGTGATCTGAACTCGCGACAGGGAAAGCAAACACAGACATCACAACATGTACCTTTACGTAGCTTTTACGGGAGATCGTCTCACTTTAGCTGTCAATCTGATCAAAAGACTTGTTCAATGGCATTAAAACGAGAAAAAACGTGGCTGAATCGATTAATCCATAGGTTGATAATGTTTCTGTGGAATACTTTTTTTAATTTATAATCCATAATTCCATTTTTATGTAAAAATCGGAGTAAAAGTTAGCTGCTAATGGTAGCCACCAGAGTTATTGCAGCTTCCGGTTTTGGCTATGCGTCAGTCTCACACACACACATTACCAAATAAGGAGTATGCCGGAGTTCCCCTCGATTCCATTGACTGATGGTTAGAAAGAGATGTCAATCAGCAAAATCGAGCAAGGGGGGGCCAGAGATAGGTCAAATCCACCCAAATGACCACAGAAGTTTTTTTTGTTGTTGCTAAATCTCTCTAAAAAGGTCAAATTTCACTTGTTTTGCATCAATCTTGATACAGGGTACTTATTATATGTTGTAGTTTGTATTCCTAAAGCTTTTAGTCTACCATCCCATCATTCAAGGGTGGTTTTCACTATCAGTACTTTTTTAAAAACTGTGTTCAATCTGAATTTACTTTAAAATAAAAACATCTATATTAATTCTGACACTTCTACATCCAACTCACAGGTGTAACTTTGCTTTGAGAAAAAATATTATTAATTTAACCCTTTTAGAAGGGAAGATATGGTCATTTGTTCTGGGAATGTCATTTTCGAGCCTGAGAACTGGAAAACAGGCTCGGGGCTTAACAGGTTGGGCACAAAGTGTTGTTAAAAAAAAGCAGTCAATTTACGAAATGCCTACAATGTACCCACAATAATGAGCTACAAATATATCTGGCTCCAGGATTTCCAGGTCTATTTGAGAAGATGCTGAATATTTTAGTCTTTCTTGGGGTTTAGTGCAAAACTGTGTGTTAAAGTGGCTTCTGAATCTGTTCCAGAGAGGGAAAACATCGGGGAAATAATATATCACTGTCAGGTTATGTAGCTTCTGAGGATATGTATAGCCGTACTCTTAAATTAAGTGGTTTGGTTTAAAAGGTCATACTAGTAAAAAAAACTAACTGTCAAAATAAATGTTTTGTGTAATCTGCACACATTCCTACAGCTGTTATACGTTCCAGTAAAAAAGGCTAAATTGCTGACCAAGACTCCTGATAATACATTTTTGGATTGGTCTCTGCAGTATGTGTGATATTTAAACATCAATCCACACCTCTACATGATAAAAAAATTGAATTGAATTGGTGCACATCATCGGCCCACTATCGTGAGTGACAGTTTGTCCCTAAATGAAGAGAGCGTACGGTTTCATCAGTCCCGGCAAATGCTGACCTTTCACTTCCTGACACAGCAGTTGTATTTAACACAGCCACGTGCCCCTGTCGACCTCACACACACACACAAAGATCCACAGCGTTGGCTTTGTGTCAGTTTAAAAAGTCATTCTAACCATGAACAGAATGAAAATGTGCTGTGGCACACAGGTAGAACACATGCATACATGCGTTTGTCTTATGGAGTTTTACACAGATTACCTGAGTGTTCCAAACTACAAAAGCCAGCATAGATGAAGGCAACCAACTACAGTATACTAGAAACTACAACAAAAAGATGGCATTGCGGTCCAACAAGAGAAAATATAAAGACAAAGAGACACAGAAAAACACAAAAACTGCCACGTGACATCAAATTTTAATTTTATTTTCAAAATAGTCTCCCAACAGGATGAAACTCAGAAGAGCCCAGAGGGTCCAAAGCCAATAGAGCCGTCTAGAACAGAAGCACCACTCATTATTGCTATGTCACTCTGCTGCAGGACAAGGCCATCAGGAGAGGGGCGAAAAAAAAGATAAAGAAAAGGGGGGGGGGGGGTAAAACACAGAGACCTACAAACACATTCACTCTATCAGAAATACAAAAGGAGCTATGTGAAACATAGTGGAGGTGATTCTAAAAACTAACATTTCTTTTTTTTTAAAAGCTACAGATGTTCTACGTAGGGATTATGGACCTAGTTTCTTGTAGCTCTGTATCCAAAATTGATCCAAAAACCCTCACCTTGACCATCAGGGGGAGTGCCAATAATAATGATCCTTTGTAGAGACTACAAATATAGGCAGAGCTGGTTTACAGATCATAACAGTCGTGTTTACAGCCCCCTTCAGGTAAGATGAAGAACATCTGCAGCCGTCTGATAAAAACACTTCATTCCGTTTCTGAGACAGCGATTCAGAACGCAATAGGGAGGAGAATCGAGCAAAAACATAGTGTAAGGTAAGGGGAGCTGAAAGGAGTGTGAACATTATGCTGCTGGTTTTCCATCTCTACTAACAAGTCTAAAAAAAAAATCAGCATGGTACAAAAATCGTCAGTAAAAAAAGATGCTTTGCTGCCATGGTGTCAGAAGGGACGAGTCGGTGGATGCGTTCGTGTGTTTACGCCTTCTCCTCAGTCGCCTCCTCCGCTGCCTCAGATACCTGAAGAAGAGAGGAAAGAGTCACATGATGAAGGTGTGTCCAAGCCCTCGCCACAGGTAGGTTCCCATGGGGACTGGATTTAACTTTGCCTCAATGGGCACTTCTCTCATGTCTGTAAGCTCAGCCTGGCCCCCCTATAAATAGCTTTCCATACTACAAACTGCATTGCCAGGAAAACGTATTGTTTCCTGAATAGCTTCAGTGGTTTTTTAAGTATCTTGAATACGTTTTGAATCAAAGTCCGTGTGAGTAGGAGGTCAGGGTTGAACGAGAAGAGGACTATTATCCAGGAGACCATTGTCTGTGACTTGTTTTGTACCCATCATAAATTATCAAAATAACTAATTTTAAGCTAAACCAAGATATGTTGCTAAAGCTAGCCAAGTTGTTTTGTTGCCCTTTGGTTTTGTTTTCTTACCCAACTTTAACCGCATGTTTCAAACTGTTACGTAATTCAGGAGGTACATTTCCCTAAAAACATAATAGAGAATGCAGTTTAGCTGTATGGGAACTTAACATGTAGGAGACAGGGTTGCTAAGCTACATTTAAAGCTAGGGCCAGGAGGTGGCTGCCATATCGTAAGACTGGGAACAGGTTGAAGCAGCTAGCCTGGCTCTGTACCAACATTAAATAAAAAAAGTTGACCTACAAGCACCTCTAAAGCTCACATATTCAAAAATATATCTGGTTTGTTTAATGTGTACAAACACTAAAACAGAAGGCTAGCTTTTTCAACTGGTTTCCAGTCTTTATGCTAAGCTAATTTCCCTGGCTTCTAGTTTTGTAGCTCACAGCCAAGAGAGAAGCATCCATTAGGGCTGCAAGATATATTGTTTCAGCATCAACATTGCAATGTCTAAGCGCAATATAATATAAAAGGAAATCTTGCACGACTCTCTTTTTCTGCGACTAATCTACAAGAATAGTTTGTCTGATTTCTCAGTTTTAAGTTTTATTAGATCATGTATTACTACTGAGATAGCAAACCACCAATCACAATAATTCCTGATCAAACAACAAAAGTGCTGACCACAACCTTAACTTGAAACATGAGAAATATGTAAAAAAGGAAGATTTGTTTGCAAAAATAAGGCAACATCAGCTGTATGGAAATATTTCAGCTATGAAAAATATGCAGTGCAGTATTTTAGTAGTAAGACATGGGCTTTGTTCCAAGAAGCAGGTTTATGAAGTTATCAGGATAACGCAACACCTTTATATCTGGCGCATTTACTGCTTGTTGTGGCAGGTAGTTTAGTTTTTATTTCCAACTTTAGTGTTCAAATCAATGTCTCAATAGTTGTTGGGACTGTTTCTCTTGTAGAAAGGAGTTCTAATGGCACCTCTTTAAAGTGATATCTGTTGATTATAGTGTGTAACTGGAACTTCTATCTGAAAAAACTGAATTATTCAATTTAATTCTGTGAGCAGCACAAACACATTTCCATTCACCTTCATTATTTTTGGGTGTACATATAGATATTTTCAAACCTCAGGGTTATGAAAGGTAAATCTGGCCCCAAGCTGCTAGCTCAAATGATTTGCAGCGTTTTTACCCCTATAGCTTAGATTATTTGTTACTAAATTGCTGGGAAAAGCTACTCACTGAAACGCATAACTCCTTTAGTATATGCAGGTATCATCTCCTCTTATTTCCTCTGCCTCTTCTGGTAGAGCCGGCTGTCTATGAACACAGTGAGCCAATAATATTTCACATCACAGCTGTATGAGCGGCAAACCTTCCTGCTCGTATAAAAATAAAGTCATCCTTGGCCTACTTCACTGCACACAGCAACGAAAATGTCGGACATACTTACTTCTTCACTATCCCACTCACTTCTGTCTCTTTCATTTGCTCCGTCAGACACGCCACAGCACTCAGAAAACACTCTTGTTGATGTAAATGTTTGCTCAATAACACACAATTTCTTGGTAAGTAATAAGTTAGTGTCCAAACACGCACTTCAAAGACGGAGTTAGAAACACTCGTGCATACCCTTAACTCTGACTGTCTCACTCTGCCCTCTCACTGACATCAAGGAGGGAGCCGTGCTTCTGATGAAAGACACACTGACGGACGGACGAGACACGTAGATCTGTATGTGTGTGTGGGTGTGTGTGTTTATGTAGTGAAGGAATATAGGTGCAGTTAATATGTATGTGCGTGTTCGTGTTTTTACACAAATTGACAACATAGGGGAATAAAGATAGTTAATTATCTTGTCGGTCTCTGACTGAAACTTCTCTTTCTTCTATAACATTTTCTTTCCTATTTTCCCTCCTCATACCTCGTTGGTCTTGCGCTCTCCGTTCTGGGCCGGTCCGTCATCCCTCTTACCCTTAGCGCCGACTTTCTTTGCCTTTGAACCCTTATCGTCCGCAACTTTCTGCACGGAGGAAATGGAAAATAAGAAATTCTGGTATATATGGAGTAGTAGTAGTATGTTTTTTCTGCAATTAATAAACAATTTTATGAAAAGAATGCAGAAGAAAGTAAATAACAATAAGCAATTTAATAAAGGTGGAAAAATATTGATGAAAAGCTGTAGGATTAAGTTCAAGACTATTATACCTACCGTTTTTAACCATTTTACTGTACATTTACTATTGGCAAACCACTACATCGTCTACATTTTTTTATTGCATAACCTTCTATATACTTAGCAAACATCTCCAGTGTGACCAGGTAGTGAGGTTACTTTGCTAATACATAGGTAATTGTATTTAATATGCTTGCATGTGAGGATTTCTGTGTGCGTGCTTTTGTGTTTTCCACACCTAGTGGCCTTGGTCACGCACATAGACCAGTAGTGAGGGGCAACCGAGGGCATCAGACTGTTGCAAATTCATGGGGATATAAATAAATCATTGTAGTTAGTGTGTGTTTGTGTGTACTTTACCTTCACAATGGCCTTCTTGGGCTTGGCCTCAGGCTTGGCTGGACCAGGTTTCTGTACATTTAGAAAAAGTCAGTCAGGACCGAATATTTTTAGTAATAAGATCTTTCATATATGAATCTATTTTATTATTATTATTATAACGTTTCATCTCTTGGCTACACTTACAGAGACATATCTGTGCTGTTTAAGCCACAAGAGCTGCTTAGTAAATCCAGTAGGACTAAAACAGAACACATGGAGGCGATACCATTGTAGATGTTATGAATATTAAAGTACCATATTCCTTACAAATGGGATCTGACAGAGTTCCCGTGCTAATATCTTCCTTTTCTCACAGGGAACTGACCTCAGACCACTATAACACATGAGATTTCAAATTCTGGTCACTCAGTGTGAGAACGTTTGCTGCAGAGCTTTTTCCAGGCCGCTGAGTGCAGACCATGTTACCCTGAAGCCACATCGCTGTGACAAATTTAAATCATGTGATTCTTTCTCAAAATGTCTCTGTTTTTCTTTAGATATCACTTACACTCTGCACATGAGAAGCAGCAGAAAGCGGGGCTTGACATTACATTATTTAATGCCATGTTTCGTATTATAATTTAGAATTGTAATCATGCAGTCCAAATATAGACAGCAGCAAAGCTGGTTTACTGGCAAAAAAGTATCATTTTATTAAATAAGCTGACTGCTGAAAACATTCAGAAGACAAGGAAATATCAAGTCGAATACATGCAAAAATGTACAGGTTTAAATAGGCACATCAAAAGCTTATAAGGAGTAGTTTGACAATTTTGGGAACACAATTCTTGGTTTACTTCTTCCAACCACTGTCATGTATGTCTGTTAAACAGGAAGTTACAGGCAATACATGGTAAGCTTAGCATAAAAACTGGAAACAGTGAGCAAAGTGACTTTTTGGTGTTTAAAGTTGTATGGCAAATACATTTTATTTTTTAGTACAGATTAACCAAATACAATGTGTCACTTGCTGAGCTTTTGAGGAATTAGTTATTGTCGTAACTTTTTTGTACCTTTTTTCCAATCTTTATGCTAAGCTAAGCTTACTGGCTGCTAGCTGCATTGTCAGCACATTTCCCAAAAATTTCATCAATTCCTTTAAGGTGCACATGCAAATGTACAAAGGCATGCAGAGGCTCAACACAGATGGGTTCAACATGCAAAGTACAACACAGATAAAAACGCATGGTCTGTTTAGCAAGGCTGCATGATCACAAATAAATAATAACCAAATGATTCCTTGCTAAATATTATGATTACTATCATTAGTTTAACAAGGATTGAGGTGATTCTTTGATCAATTTACATTTACTTAACTTCTTAGTCAACTTTGGGATGGAATATCACTTGTGTTACCTTTTAATCATGCAGCCCTACACTTCAACAAGGTGTTGCAACAGACCGGACCAAGAATGGACAAAGACAACAGAAAAAAAACAGCAGGCCTTGAGGAGCATGTTTATGAAATTTGTTAAATTGCCTCCATCAAATCCATTAACTGGGTGAGGACTTTGCTCTGAGCCTTGGTAACATGTGACATTTACAAGGAGAGGAAGAAGAGAGGTGAAGACAGGAGGGAGGGGAGAACGAAACTTACCGATTGCAGTCTCTCTGACCTTCTGGGGGGCTGCAGGAGGAAGGGATGATCAATGAGGGAAAGAGAGAAAGTGACAGAGAGAGAAAGATATCAGTTGTACCTTTGTGGGCTGATGTTGAGTGTTTGGTGATTTCTACAAGCGTCAATCATTAACCTGTTATGTGTCTATTTCCCCGCTCACACACACTCTTTCTCTTTGTACAAAAAACAACAACAACCAAAACACAGCACGCCAACACACGCCTCACAGCACCAGAACACGCCTGAAACATTTACCTCTTGCTTTGTGACTTTGGAGGCCTCCTTGCCCTCAGAAGTCTCTGGAATCTGTAGGAAATGCAATGAAGATTATATATTTGTAATTCCAAATTTGTTTTATCATTTTTAATTCTTAAACTATAAACATCAGATACAGTACACTCAAGTTTTCTATTTTTTATAATCCATACATCTATCATAATTTTATTAGCAGAAATGCCAAAAATGTAGTAGTTTCACTTTCTCTTTTGGGAATATTTCCTGGATTTTTTTTGCAGCTTTAGCTGAATGACTAATCAAGAAAATAGTCTAAGGTTTTATTCATCATCAAAGTTATCGTACAACACTAGTTATATTTAACATAACACTAAGTTACAACTTCCTGTGCATAAAGTAAAACCAAATCAAATGTAATGTTAAAAAAAAATCCATTATAGCTATAGAACACAACAACTATTTCGGAACTAATTTACTATAGGCATGCTATTAGAATAATTGATTAATGTATAGATTTCCTGAATTTATTTATAATTCTTCAAAAAAATACTGTGATGTTTAACATAAAGTAATCAAGCCCTAATTGTATTTGTACTCATTTGATTTTATATAATATGTGATCTCTATGGGGAATTACATTTTAAATGAGGCACCTTGCTTACATACCAGGCTGAGCTCCCCAGAGATGAATGGAGAGTAAACATTAATATTGACTTACAACACACCGTGCTGTCAGCATCATGAAGAACATCATATTATAAACATGTAATACACTCAGGCTGCGCTGCGGGCAGGTGAGGACAGCCCCCCCTCCCATTCCACCGTAAAAAAAATGAGCAAATGTTGGTGAAGCCTGCAGGTTGGTAATCGCATCATTTGCATGTCGGCAACCATGGAGGCCCCCCATTCTCTGCCCTCAAAGGCGAATCGGTGCAGACAATGGCATTTTTTTTTAAATGGCAGAAAAGCCCATTTCCATGTATGCACTGATACAATGCACTGGAACTCGTCGAGCACTGCTGTTTGGATAGTGTCACGGCCTCTTTTAACGCAGCGGCAATTGTCCCTGATCCCCTCTTTCTTTAGTCCTTTCTCTGCATCTGGATTTGGGTCTGTTCACTCTGGCTACCATTCATCCCGACAGGAGAGCCAACATGAGACAGGGAGGTGGTGATCTACACTGTTATAATACACATTCAGAATCAATCGATCTTAAATATGCTTGAAACGCGCCTATAAAAAATCATATAATATCCCGCACGTCTCCTTCGGGATTTACGCATCTATCCATCCGGCAGGTCCGCCTGACATTCACCAGCGCGCGCAGCGGACAGGGAAGTGGCACATAACACGACCACAAGAACGGCCATTGAGATGGAGGCATGGACATTAATAGTGTAAATAGTCATAAAAAGATCATAACAGCATAGGTCATTTACACACAAGCGTTAAAAACTATTGAAAAGGTTGCGGGCGAAAAAACGCTTCCTCAAACTTTGGCATCACCTCACCTGCCTCCATGTCGCCACTGAAATCGCGCACTGCAATTTTTCTCAAATGCAAGAGCAGGAAAACTACAGTGAAGTGAGCAGGAATACACAGCCGACACTCACCTTTCTCTTCGGCATTTTACGCGTGAATTATTCTCCAACAAGCACGGGGGAAAAAAGGTCAAACCCTAAGGTCCAGTAGAGGCGAATTTGAACTACCTCGGAATACAGGATCAATATCTAAGCACCTTCGATAATATGTTGATTATATGCACTCCCCAAAACTCTGAACCTCCCACAGCCATTGGGCAGAGGAGTCCAAATCCGCTCCTGCACTGACTCCTGATTGGCTGTTCTCGTGTCTATGTAAATAAGAGCCTTTCGGACATTGGTCGACTTTTATCAGAGGGTGTCTGTGATTGGCTGCGCGCTCATTGTGCGCAGATCCCACCAGACGGCGATGGCTAAGAGGGAAAGTGAGGACAGGCCATTGACAGTGGGGTGGACTCTCGGTGGATCTGGGTAATGTAGGATGAGAGATGGCGACAGAATGATGTTAATAAAACACAAAGGGACAGAAAAATAGGCACAATGGAACAATGTCGGCCATACAGGAGCTCCAGAAAATCGTAGCCCACGTTTTTGCACAACGAAAGCACATCACTGCAGAGGCACCTGTACCTGTATGATCGTGATTCCAGTCACACATTATAATGAATAAGGTCACTATAAATTCACAATTGCTGACAAATTAGACAATTAGACAGGTCTACATTGTGCAACAAGTGCATTTCATACGCAGCTCTGCTTCATCGTTGTTGGTCTTTCTAGGACCAGAATTATCCAGCAAATTTGGAATAAAATTAACCTTAAATGAAGAACACTATAAAAGAGTCAAAGCTCTTAAACCAAGCTATTGTCTTAACAATGTGTTTTGCTACACATTACACTTGTCCCTCACAACACTTCAAAATGATACATCTATTCAAAAAAGCGGAATATGTTATGTCTTTGAAACCAAACTCTCATGTGTAAATACTACAATACTGTTTTTTTATTATCTTGATACCAATTTTGACACATTATCCCAGGGCATCTGATGGCGAGTGACACAAGACACTGCTTTTAATGCTTATCAACGCATCATGGTTAATGTTCAATCCACTAATAAGCCTACATGGATTGTATGAATTGTAACAAATATTGTAAATCAAACACTTTCCTTTACGACTCAGTGGACAACACGATAGGTATAGACAGAAAAGCCAAGATTCGAACAGGCAACCCAGAAACAAGTGATGGTTACTAACTCCACCAAGGAGGTTATGTTTGTCTGTTTGTCAACAGGATTATGGATAAACTAATGACCTTATTTTCATGAAACTTGGAAGAAGGGTGGAACATGGGCCAAGAAAGAACCCATTACATTTTGGAGGGGATCCGAATCGCTGGGCGGTTACAATGTCTCCATTTTCATTGTCAGTAAATATACGTGTCACTCCTAATGGGACACTTCCAAACTACGTTTTTTAACTAATGTTACAGAACAAATTCCGATAGTCCGTTGCGCCACTTTGGTGTCCAGATAAAGTCTAAAACCTGAGCACACATGCAGATCTGTTTAAAATACATTATGTACCTGCTTACAGAGAAATGTTCACACTATTCACTGCGCGACCTTCCATGTAGTCACACACTTTTGGGCACTCCACATTGACAGTCCACATTCATTCTCATAGAAATGGAAGATTATGAAATTAAATCTCACAGATACTCACAACCAGACTGATACAGAAGCTATGAATTGGACTTTGGTCAGCCCAAGTGCAAAAGGGTATTACTGTATGATTTGGAAGGTGCCCTCTGGTCTTAGCTGCATGGTCATCTTAGCTGACCAAGCTAAGATTGGCCTAAAGGTAGGGTAGGAAACCCTATTTACCTATTTATTTATATTACCCTATTTTCCTATCCTCTGGGTAGGAAAAGTGACTTTCCCAGCACTACTGTCTGTCGCTTGTGACTTTAGGGCAAAACCCCTAACATAATGCTAACCCTATAGTAGTGTGTTGCAGATGCACATTTCTTTATCTTGTAGTCATACACAACTCAAGCACAGGTTACAAAATCTCTCTGAGACTGTAAAATGATATTTTCAAGATTAGGGAGGATTCAGAATGGCCCTAATAAAGGAAATAGAGTTGAGTTAACCCCCTGATGAAAACATTTGAAACCTTTTGATGCACAACATGAGTAAAAAAATGACCAAAAAAGGCCTTCCTTATTATTCAGAGCCCATGGTGATGCATTTTGTTCAATTAATGTTCCAATGTAATATCATATGTGACCAAGAACGATTTACAAAGCTGGAACAAGAGAATGCTTGGTCATTTTTGCAGACAATTGATGATTCAATTAGATACCTTAACAGTTTCCGATTCATTCTTATTCAAACGCCATCGATTAATCGACTAATAGTTTCAGCTCTATCTGAATGTCAAACAGGCCATTGTTTTTCACCTCGGTATGGTATTTTACAGTCTACAAAATCAGAAGATCAAGATACTTCTTGTCAATTAATAGATAACTGCTGCAACAACATTTTCTATTTTGAATCTAAAAGTTTAAAAACAATGCTCACTGTAACTAGAATATTTGAATTGAATCAATTCATAATATTTGTTGTGCATTTGCATGGAAACTCAGGCAACTTTACAACTGTTATAATCTAGTAGCTCTACTTAAAATCAATGGATACCTTAAGCACACCATGTTAAACATAGAAGGCAAAAAACATACTAAATCAACAAAGAAATTAACAAAAGATACCTCAACATTCCAGTTAAGCTATAGACACACGCACATACACACACGTCCACAGCTACAAATATCACAATAGACAGAGCTTTCCTGCCCAAACAAACAAAACCCTTCATGTTAGAAGTGAACCCAGAACACACAGGAGCAGTGGCCACTGTCCCCACAAAGATTCACACTGTCAGCTAAATGGAAGGGAAAACACAATGAGGAACATTTAAAACACATACATATATAAAAGAAAGGCACAAAATGAATCAAAACTCAAAATAAATAACCTCCAAAATGTTAAGGTTTGATTCATATTGACGACTTTTCTTTGGTAAAACTGACTTGTACTACTTATTTATGAATTACTTTTCTGTTCTTTCATGTACCCTTTTTTCAGTAATAAGAGGCATCATTTGCCTTTTTCCCAAACATGCTTTCCTTTTGCATTGTATCACATTTGAGATTTGTCTTTAAAGCCTTGGGAACTGTGCACATCAAAGACATATTTACTTGAACAGGTGTACAACCATGCCAACAGCTGTGTGAGGCTACTAATTATGCGCACAATGAGGCTTTGAGCTAAATGCTAAGACCAGCATGCTAACAGGCTCACAATAACAAAGCTACAGGCTGATGACTAGCATGTATAATATAAACCATGTTTACTATCTTAGTTTAGCATTTTAGCTTGCTAACATTAGCTAATTATCACTATATATATATGTATACACATAGCAGAGACCAATAGGAAAGCATTCGTTTAGCAGGTATTTGGTCATACACCAACGTACCAGACACACATTTTGACCTGATAATAACACTATGGGATAACTTGAGTGATTTCAAATCATACTGTCTGGAAATTAGTTTTCTACATCTTGTGACAATCATTTCAGTAGTGAGAAATATCGCTTAAAATTCAAAACGATAAACCTGCAGGTGGTGCTAGGCGAAAAGTCAGAAAAACACAAATGACTGTTTCTTCCAATCCATCCCGTGGTTGTTATGACATCATATTGTGTACTGACTTAAAGCTAAGTTGTTTGCTTAGCTATACAAAATAAATATTTACATGTGTGCATGAGAGGAGCATTGTTCAATTTTATTTAGTTCAACTATCCTACATTTTTACAACAATTATACTCGTTTGTTATCAAATTGCAGTTAAAGTAATATTACACATTTCACTTTTTATTGGCCAAATGCCAAAAACAGTTTTTGGTGAAAATGTATTTTCAGTGATATCTCAGATCTTTTTTCTGGGTCAGTAAGTGGGTAAAAAAAACATTTGATTACATTTATTTTTTATTTATTTTAAATAATGATTCAACTTTATTTAAATGTATTATTATTCAATTAAACTACAGCAATGCCCTATTGTTTAGCAATCTAAGGGACTGGAATTCAGGCAGTATTGATTGGTGTTAAAAGACAAAATAGAGAATTTGATCCCAATCCTAAAGGTCTCAAGGGGTTGAATGTGAGGGTTTTAGATATTTTTTTATTAAGATTGTTATCATTTTGACAATGGCCTTGATAATGGCCTTGTTTCAGACCATTAGATATGGGTTAAGTTTTGGTGCCTGGAGGCCACATCATCCCTATGCTTATCAAGCCATTCACTGACTCCATGCAACTGCATTTGTTATGTTTTCTCACTGACTCATTCAGATTTTCACTTTAATTATTAATATATCCCTATGTATGTTATAATATTAATAAGCTTAATATATATATATAATAAGGAACACGAGACATAAAATCAGGGATAGAATGCCATAATTAATGAGAAATAAACAACACAAATTAGAAATAAATAAGAACTAAGATGTAATGGTGGAGATGAGATTCATTTGTAAAGATAAAAACCTAATGTTTTGATTGATTGATTGATTGATTGAAAAGTTTATTAACAGCTTGTATATTGGGTACAGTACAGTACAGCTCAAAACATACAATTGTTAAGGGAATGCAGACCAGAGAAAGACTTTCGTCTTGTTTACATCAGGGTCCCCCATTTCCAATTCATCATATCATTTAAGACATATAAGACATATTTGACATACAGATGGCTTATTTACAATTTACATACAGGTGGTTTTTTACATACAGATTGCTTATTTACAATTTTCATTTTAGATTTCGTTCTAATACATCCTAACCGGACATTTAAGACATACCAAGTCTACAGATATACAGTTAGTAACAGAGTCTAAAATGCGAGTATATACATAGATGGGGGGGGAGGGGAAGCTGTCCATTGAACGACAGGTTGAGATTTGTACCATTACCGGGGCCAGTTTTGCAATGCTCTCCCCCGAAGGTGCTCTTTAAGAGAGGTTTTGAAGGTAAGTATAGTTTTACTTTCCTTTACAGTTGTGGGAAGAGCGTTCCACCTTGATGTGGCATAATTGCGAAACGTGTATTCCCCCTTTTTTGTGCCAAATCTGGGTTTCACATGATTTGTGGAGCTCCCTCTGGTGT